GTGAGAACTTTGAAGGGAATAATGCATGTTAGGGAGCTGCATGTTATTGTGCTAAGAAAACCAGGGAGCTTTCTCTCAGCACTGAAGTCAGGGTGATGTTTGAAGCTGTATCTTCAGGATTAGGGTGCCCAGAGGAGCTGTGGCTGCCCCATCCCTGGAAGTGTCCAAGGCCAGGTTGGATGGGGCTCGGACCAGCCTGGGCTAGTGGAAGGTGCCCCTGCCCATGGTCTCGATTATCTTTAAGATCTCCTTCAACACAAACCATTCCATGATCCTGTGATTTTTTGGTTAGCAAAGCTCGTCAGCTCAGTGTGCAAATCCAGCCTGTGCTGCCTTTTCAGACCCACCGGGAGCTGGTGAAGCTGGCGGAGGGCACAGGCTTCAGGATACACATGATCCACAAGGCAGCTGAGGCAGCCAAGAAGTTCGGGCCCAAGTCTTCCAAGAAATTTGGTAACTGTTTTAACAACTGAAGTGCTTCTAAAAATGTCAGAAATGTCACTGACCCTTCTCTTTGGGCTGTGAGGTTTTAAGGAGATGGTTAGTGACACTCAAGGCGTGTGATCTGTTGTGCAATGCTCTGAGAGTGGCAGGGGAGGAATGGGAAGTGAGCCTGACCTGGACTCTGTTAAACTGTACCTCTGGCAGATTGGATTGGAACTGGTGTTTCTCAGGGCCCTGTGAGACTGGTTTATTTGGTGCCTTTTTCAACATTTTGCATTTTTTTCTTTCTTTTTACAGATATTCTGGTTACTACTCCCAACAGACTCATTTATTTGCTGAAAGAAGATCCTCCAGCAATAGACTTGAGCAGGTAGGGAGAGCCTGTCCCAGATGTGGCTTTGCCACTCAGAAGTGGTGGCTGTAGTGAAAAGCAAACCTCCCTGTTCCTAGTGTGGAGTGGCTGGTGGTGGACGAGTCGGACAAGCTGTTTGAGGATGGCAAGTCGGGGTTCCGGGAGCAGCTGGCCTCCATCTTCCTGGGCTGCACCTCCCACCTGCTGAGGAGGGCCCTGTTCAGCGCCACCTTCGCCCACGACGTGGAGGAGTGGTGCAAGCTCAACCTGGACAGCGTTGTCCTGGTGTCTGTTGGGGCCAGGTGGGTGTGCAGGTGGACCTGGACTTCCTCCGGTTCTTTGTTATTTCCTGGGAAATTTTCTTTGCCTCATCAGCCTGCTCGGTGTTATGGATGTTGTTAGTCATAGCACTGCAGGGTTTTTGTCTCCAGGAAAGCACTGTGTAGGCACATAGATCTTTCTCACACACTGGATGAGTTGTTCTTTCCCTTTTGCCAATTGCTTTATCATCAAATAAACGTTAATCTTAGGAGCAGGCACTGGTGAAATAATTCTGTTGTGCAGTAGCTCTTATTCACCAAGTGATGTTTTACGGATTCTATATATATTAATGTGTAAAAGATGTATTTATTTATATATATATATATAAAACCACTAATGGGAGCACATTTCTGTTGGATTTCTGATTTCAGAAACTCTGCAGCAGAGACAGTAGAACAAGAGCTGTTGTTTGTTGGATCTGAGACAGGAAAACTAACAGCGATGAGAGAGCTTGTTAAAAAGGTATTTGGAGAAACTGAGCACATTCTGCTTCTTGCTGAACTGAGCTGTGTGCTCTGTCAGAAACTCCCAGTTTCCCAGCTTAAAGACTTTTCTGGCACATGTTAAACCATTGGCCATATCTGTCTCTCAGTTTCTGCATGGAAAAGGATTTTTGAACCTGAGATAAACTTACTCTTTTGCAGGGTTTTGCTCCTCCAGTTCTTGTTTTTGTACAGTCAATTGAGAGGGCTAAAGAGCTCTTCCATGAGCTTGTTTACGAAGGCATCAATGTGGATGTCATCCATGCAGACAAGACTCAGCAACAGGTAGGAGGATTTAAATTCTTTTCAAAAAGTGCTTTAGAAAGGAAGGTGAAAGCAAGAGTGTTGCAACTATAACTCCAGGTAACTTTGGCAGCAAATTCCTGCAGGTTTTTGTTTAGAGGTTTAGTTTTATTCCTTAACATCATGATGACTTTGAGGAAACAAATTCGCCTCCTTTCTCAAATTGCTAATGGGGTTGTTTGTTATTTCCAAATATCTTTTCTGTTCTTTTCCTAGAGGGATAAGGTAGTGCACAGTTTCAGAGCTGGGAAGATCTGGGTGCTCATCTGCTCGGCCTTGCTGGCTCGAGGGATTGACTTCAAAGGAGTGAATATGGTCATCAATTATGACTTGCCAACGAGTGCAGTGGAATACATCCACAGGATAGGTGAGGGATTGCTCACAAACTGTCCCTTTTTCCCATTTCCCAGATCTTTCATGTAGATGCTCTTGTGAATGAGCAAAACTCACAAAAGCAAACCTCTGTGCTGCAGCACAAATTTCTGCATTGCTTGAGCAGTTTGTCTCTGGGCTCAACTTTCAATAACATTGCATTACTGTTTGTCACTCCTCTATGAACTTTGGATATTTAGATGTTTTAGACACACCTGTGCTTTCAGTAGGAACAGTCCTTGGGGATTGGCTGCTCAGTACATAAACACACATCAGGAGGCTGGGGCTGTGAGGAGGCATAAAGGGAGATTAGTTTAAAGTAAAATCTCTACTCCTTGCAACATTTGTGTTTGACAGGTCGTACTGGAAGAGCAGGGCACAGAGGAAAAGCAGTCACTTTCTTTACAGAAGATGACAAACCTTTATTACGGAGGTAAATTGGAAACGTGTTACAGCAGAGTGGTTTGTGTGGTGTGGTTGTGTCTGCTCCCACACACCTCACGGTACTTCACACTCACTCATGTCTTTATTTCTTGCTTTAAAAAAAAACCCTAACGAAACAAAAGACCACCAACAAAACAGTCAGTTGTCAGGATTGCTGTTTTCCACAGAACATCCTTATCACTTGTCCAAGCACTGGAGTTGATCTCTTCCCTCCTCTCCTTTCCAGTATAGCCAACGTTATCCAGCGAGCTGGCTGTCCTGTGCCAGACTACATAAAACACCTGCCCAAACTGCAAAGGTATGTTCTTTGAGTAGTTCACCATTTTTTAAGTTAGTGCTCCTTAATAGCTTTTAATAGTTTCTAAAACTAGAAACATATATATATATATATGACTTTATGTTAAAATAAAGTTTGTGGCAATGTCTTGGAGATGATGTGACTGAACTAATCTTGGTATAAACAACACTGAAAATACATTCACACCCATAAATCCCTTTCAGCCAGTAAAAGGTTTTATTTAGTTTGGATAATTTTTGCCCTTTAAAGTAATTTAATCCTTCTTCGCTAAATGTTGTTCTCAGCAAACAAAAGAAGAAATTCATTAAGAAACCCTTGACAAGAGAATCTATTTGTACAACCCCGAAGTGCTTCTTGAAAAAAGGCAAAAGAAAAATGTAAGTACTTTTTTCTCAAGAGGACGTAAGAGATGCTGTTTATCCAGAAAAGGCCCAGAAAATTCCTCCAAAATAACAGATAACTTGTTTGGATGAACTGCCCAGTCATAATGATTTTAGTGATGAAGTTTTAGTGTCAATGTCTGTCCTACTGAAAATTGGATTTATTACCCACACTTAGGAGTGTTGCTGCACAAGCACAATAAAAACCAACTAATGTCTGTGCCACTGTGATATACTTAATTTTTATGTTCAGGTGTCATAGTCTCTGATGTGTTTTTTTGTAGGAAAACTACAAAGGAAAATATTAAGGAAAAGAAGAAAGTTAAAGAAAACAAACAGGGCAGTAAATTACAGACTGTTTCAGAAAGCTGAATTCAGACTGGTGAGCAGGGGCTGACACCTCTCTCTGTGCTGGAACAGAAGAGTGAAGATGACAGCAATGGTGAAGGGAGAAAAATATTTCTTGTGTTTGCTGCTGGGTGAGGATGGAGGTTTACATGCAAGAAAGTCCCTACTGGAATACCAGGAGAGGATTCCTGGATGCTTCTTATAGAAGCTGAAGCGTGTGCTCGTGCAGCGCATGCCTTGTGTTTCTGACAATAGTTCAAAACCTTGCTCTTCCTGCTTTTTTCTTCTGGAAAATCAGTTTGAAATAACTAATACTTTACATGTCTGTAAACTCTGGTAATTTTATACTGTTTCGTAATTGAGCCTCAAAGCAGAATAAACAGAGTCATAGGATAATACAGAGATTTGCTTGTCTGTACAGCCCCAGTGGAACAAGTCTGCAGGCCAGAAGGCCCAGCTCCAGCTGTTCTGTGCGTGTTCTGCTCAGCGTGTTCTCAGTCCACTCTGGTCCTGTCAGAATCACAGAATGGTTTGGGTTGGAAGGGACCTTAAAGCCCATTGAGTTCCACCTCTGCCAACCTGGCTTTGGACACTTCCAGGGATGGGGCAGCCACAGCTTCTCTGGGCAACCTGTGCCAGGGCCTGCCCACCCTCACAGGGAAGACTTTCTTCCCAATCTCCCATCTCTGCCCTGTCAGTGGGAATCCTTTCCCCCTTGTCCTTCACTCCTTGCTCCTGTAACAAGCCCCCAGCTCACCCCCGGGAGGACGCCTCCTCCTTGTCCTCTCTTTTTTTATCTATCTTTTCACGGAAAAGCGGGTGGTTTGACTGTGGGAAACCGGCGTTCCTGGGGGAGACCCAGGGCCCCTCTTCCCCTCTAGACCGTCCCCGGGGGCCAATTCCCGTGTAACCGAGGGCCTGTGGGAGCTGAGGGGCTGTGGATGCGAGGCACGGAGGGCCGTGGGACGGAGGGGTGTGGATCCCAGGTACTGAGGGCTGTAGAACCCAGGGGCTGTGGATCCGAGACACGGAGGGCTGTGGGACGGAGGGGCTGTGGATCCCAGGCACGGAGGGCTGTGGGACGGAGGGGGTGTGGATCCGAGGCACTGAGGGCTGTGGGATGGAGGGGCTGTGGATCCGAGGCACGGAGGGCTGTAGAACCCGGGGTCTGTGGATCCGAGGCACTGAGGGCTGTGGGACGGAGGGTCCGGGCCCGTGGGCGGTGCTTGCCCGGGCCGGCCCCGGAAGCCGCCGCTCCGGTGACAGACGGCGGGGCCGAGCGCGAAGATGGCGCTGCGGCCCGGGCCCGGCACGGGGGGCACCGGCGGGGCGGGCGGCGGAGCGGCCGGGGCCGCCAGGTCGGTGGTGACGGGGGGCTGTGGAGAGGAGGGGGCTGAGGGGACACTGAGATGGCGGGAGCTGGGGGCGATGACAGGGGGAGAGGTAAGGGGGGACGGCTGGGGTGGGGGGCTCGGGGTGCGGGTGGGCGTGGGGGCACGGGGGCTCACGGCCCAGGGATGTGCGGGGGGGGTCCCGGGTGGGGGTATGGGGGGTCTTGGGTGGAGAGTGGTGGTCCCGGGTGGAGTGCGTGGGCTCCGGGGTGGGGCATCGGGGTGAACAGGTGGGGCAGGGAGGGGTCCCAGGTGGAGCGCACGGGGTCCTGGGTGGGCTGTGTGGAGTCTCAGGTGCGGTACATGGAGTCACGGGTGGGCTATGTGGAGTCCCGAGTGGAGTACACGGGGTCCTGGGTGGGCTGTGTGGGGTCCTGGGTGGAGTACACGGGGTCCTGGGTGGGCTATATGGGGTCTCAGGTGCAGTACATGGAGTCACGGGTGGAGTGTGCAGGTCCCAGGAAGGGTGTGTGGGGTCCTGGGTGGGATGTAGGGGTCCCAGGTGTGGTGTGGGGAGTGCAGCCACGTTGGCTCTACATTTTGCTGAAATTTATTGATATTTTGGGGACCCACGTGTCCGGGCTGGTGCAGGTGCACCCTAATTGCCATCAGGCTTCGCAGCCACAATCTGAGATATTGGGGCAGGAAGGGATTTGGGGGTTCCCCCGGTGGTGAGTGGGTGGGTGTCAGCAGCCACAGACGTTCTTACTGTCATCAGGAAGGCCTGTGGGATGGAGCCTCAGTGGGGAGTTCCCTTGTCCCCTCCATCCCACAAAGGGCACCTCGGCAGGAGGAAGGAATGACAAGAAAGAACCAGTGTCAAAAGAGATGTCGTTGTGTCTCTGGAAAGGTTGGGAAGCTGGATTTCACCACCTTTGCAGACTTAGTAATTTTTTTTTTTAATGTAGGTTCTTGCATGCTATTTATCTCTTGTCCTACTTCTAGGGAGGCTGAGGAAATTCTGTATTTGACAGTTAAGTTCATTTAGTTGTCTTGAATATATTGAAGGCCATGGTTTTGTCTGTGTTATTGGGAATGTGAGGAGGGGAGGTCTGCTCTGGGGTGACCTTCATCTGCAGGCATAGGTTTGGGGTGTCCCCATCAGCTGTCTGAGCCAGGCTGATGCTCTGCTTCGGGAAGAACCATCCAAGGGTCTGGAATACTTGGGAAGGGAAAAGCTGAGGTGTGTGTGTATGCAGCTGTCTGTGCGTGCTGTGGGAAGGATGGGAGGCTGTCTCATGGGGCTTGTTTCCCCATGAATACATCTGAAATAATTCTTGCAAGGAGATGAACCTCTTACAGCAACGTTGCCTGCTCAGTATTCTTGTAGTAAAATAGCAAAAATGTTGTCAGTGGAATAGAGGCTCTGAAAAATAAAAGGATTTTAAAAATCATAGTTTCCCATTGTCGGTATTTTGGTTTATTTGAGGATGAAGTCTGGAGGTAGAGAAAAAGTTCTGTTCTCTGTCTGTGTGGGTTCCTTCAATTTTTGTGTATTTCTGCCACTCAAAAATACTCAGACAGTCTGTGTTGTGTTGATGGAGTTGTGCTGCTTGGGAATTGAGGGGTTTAAAAATCCACTTGTGCATGGGAAAATGTTCTGTGTGGTTTGGAGCTGTTATGGTGAAGTTTGAGTACGGAAAGGGAGTTGCTTCTCCCCACGCTCCTGTGCTTTGTCTGAAGTTCTTGGTTGGCTGGTCCAGGATTTTTTTGTGGGGTTTAAGCTCCATATTAAAATATTCATCTGATAGGAGTTTACAGGTTGATGTTACTGCTTTAAGAGGTCTGTTGTAGGGTGATGGCTGTGTTTTCCTTCTGTTTATTCCATCAGTGCAGGGAATCACATCCATTCCTCACTCTCCTCACTCAGGACGGTGCCTTTGCTGGCTCCCTCAGTGGTGAGAACCAGCTGCTTTGCCTGCTGGCTCTGGGCACTTCTGCATCTCCAAGGAGGGGTTCATTAATACACTCCTGGTGCTTGGATGGGGTTTATGGCCCTGCAGGTGTGGCTGGTGTTGGCAGTTGCTCAGCTGAGTCCTGGAGTGAGATCCGTGCTGGATCCCAGCGGCACGTACGGAGCTGGCTTTGCTACTCTGAACTAGCTCCTCTGCCACTGCCCTCTAATTAGCTGAGGGCTTTTTTGTTGATTGTTTCTTTTTTTTCAACAGAGACTTATAAATAAACCAGGAGCTCTGTGGAAAGGGATAAATATTTAATAGCTTGGCCTTTATTTGCTCCAGCAAGCAGTGGTACCTTGCTAGGTTTGCCGATTTGGAAGAATTCTTGTTGACCAGGTTCTCCAATGAGAAGGGAGAGCCTGAATTCCCCAACAAGAAGGGAAAAGATGAAGCTTAGAACACTTCTTCATACTTGTGAGCTTTTCAAAAGTGACTTGTGACTTCATCATTCTGACTAAACTGAGAATGATGAAGTTCAAGGTGCCTAAAATTGCAGATCTGTGTTATGACAGAAGCTGTACACATCTCAACTTGTTTGTGGGGGTGTATCACCAAGGAGGCACTTTGTACTGACACTGAACACGGGCAAAATCCAACTCCTTTACTGACTGCAGCCTCTGAGTGGAGAGCCCAGGTTCAGTCATGGGCCCTCTGTGGTTCTCAGCTGTTTGCCTTTGTGCTGTAGATATTGTGTGTGGAGGAGTGGATTCCAGTGAGCACTGCTCAGTGGAACAGACCTTGGCCGTGGTGTGAGCTGAGCCCTGCTCGTGTCTGGGGCTGAGGTAACGTGAGTCCACACTGTGCTTCAGAGGGGAACCCCAGAGTTGGGGGGGATTGCAGATGGCAGGACTGGACCCACTGGAAAGCACAGCTGTGTGTTAGTTGTGGAAGGAGAAATCAGCACATGGTGGGCAGGGCTGAAGAAGAAGCTTCAGGATGAAGAAGATCCTGGTAAGAGGATGAAGTGAAGAGTGAATGGGTTGCCTTGGTGACCGTGTGACCTGCTGTCTGTACAGTGGGTAGGTGCAATTTGCTCCTGGAGAAATGCATAATTAAAATTCCTTATTTTACCTTAGTGCTCAGATTACACAGCTCTTTTATATTTATAAACCAGGTTGGCTTTCAGAACTTCTGCAGCCATTTCTGATGGCATTCTCTCCTGTGCTCTTAGGCAGTTCCTTTCACATCCACCCTCGGAACTGAGCATTGAATATCTATAAGTGGGTTTCTTTTCCATGGTACTTTGAAGTAATAACTGCCTGGGACACTGAGTGAGGTTCTTGTTTGGGAAATTGCTGCTGACATGGGTTTCTGTGAGTTTGCTTACAACTGAGAATTTTAAACTAGATCTTTTTGCTGTTAGGCAGCTGTTTTGAAAGCGAGGGACAGCAGTTTCCATTAGGATTTCTGTTGAAATCTTAATGGTTCTCCCTCCAGGTGCACTCGACCCTTGATACGTGAACGAGGATTTTCTCCAAGCTACTATTTTTGTTGTAATTAGATAGCTGAGAAAATAGAAACCCCAGAATGTTGTGATACTTAGTGTAAAGGTAGAGGTGATGGGTTCCATGGGTGGTTTCTCCCCTGAAAACTCCTCCCAGGCAGCTGGGAACTGTTGCCTGGTGCAGTCAGTGGTCCTGCTGAGTCAGACTCTTGCAAGGAGATGCTTATTCATCCTGTCTTAGCCTCCACCAGCGAACTGCCCTGTTCCCAACCTGCGTGGGTGCCCAAACTCCCGGGGGTGATGCTGATGAGTCAAAGCCCTTTCAGTGCTGCTGGGTGGATAAGATCTATTTTTCCTGGCTCCCCAGCCCCTGGCAGCGCTGACGGTGCTGGTGGGACCCTCCAGTGCTTTGGGGGATCCCAGCAGGGAGGAGTTCTTCCCTGAGGAGGGGTTGGGTTCTGCGAGACCTGCAGGAGCAGGGGAAAGTGCTGGCCTGGCCAGAGGCTGGGAGGCTCCTGGTGGTGGTGCTGACGTGCAAATCGAGATGGGTTTTCAACCATTTACGTTTGCACTAAAATGACACTTTAACTATGCTCTTGTTTTCCTCCCCCAGCTTCATGTTTCCTGTTGCAGGTGGCTTGGGCCCCCCTCAAGGTACGTACCAACTCCACATTTTGAGCACAGAGTTCTTCACTTTGTTTAGGTGCATCTAACAGCTTAAACCACTTCTGCAGGGATGCTCAGAACTGTGGTTATTAATTGAACTCCTGTTCAATCCAAGCTGTTTTTCCCCTTTGAATTCAGCTCTGGTAAGCTGTTGATAAAACTTCCTGTGTGTCATCAGAATCTAGATTAAAGGTCTAGGAAAACTACACCTCCCTTTTTAACCTGAATTTGCCTTTAAGATTTTTTTATGTTATTTTGAGCGTGGTATTTCACCTCTTTCTGCTTCATCTCCCAGCTGTGTATACCCATATTGTGTGGGTGTTGCAAGACCTGGTAAATATTTACAAAGCACAGCAAGACCCTGGGACAAGAGTCACAACCTGTGTGGAAAGTATTAGTACAATAGGAGAGCCTCAGCCTTAAATTACCTTTGTTCTCATTCCTGATGCAGGCTGTTTAATTAGTGGAAAATTCAGAGAGAACTTCTGGGGAAAATGGAGAGTTTTCGTATAAAAATGCCAGGGACTGATTTTTGGATTCTTCCTGCCTGTGTCACTCCATCCTGGAGTGTTTTTGCGTGTGATGTTCAGTTGTGCACAGTTATAATTATCTCATGATGTGCTGGTAGCAAATGTGTGTTGTCTCCCAAGACAGGAAAATACTGAACCATAATCCACTAGGCTTTATTCAGTGAATTAATGCATTCCAGCTTGATTTGTTCAATTTTGCAGAAGTTTAGCTTTTACTGTTACCATTCTAATATATGTGGTGGGCTAATTAACCTACAGTGGACTAATTAACCTGCAGACATGTTATCCAGCCAGGTCAGAGTGGGAAGTTGCCTTGTGCAAGGGTGACTTTATTTCCCAAGATTTGTCTTCGAAAGCTGCTGGTTTGTAAATTTTCCCTTTCAAGAGAAATGGGAATTATCAGCACCAGTCAACCTGGTTAATTAAATCTTGTTAATTGGAAATGACCCTTCCAAAAATCACATGGGAAGAAGCCCACAGAGAATCCTTAGGATGGTGGGAGAATTCATCAGCTTAGTTACTGTGAAAGCCCTGTAATATTTTTCTCTGCAGACTGACCAGTATCTAAACTAAGGAAATTCTCTTGACTGCCTGCAGTGTAGTAAATTTAATTCTTTTTATTTTTAAGTACTCCAGCAAGACTCAGAGTTTTTTTCTTTTCCTTTGCTAGTCTAGTAAACAAAAAAAACCCAAAGCATATTAGGGAGGCAGGGAAGGGGCTGGGGGGGAAGCTTTAATACTCACTGGACTCTCACCTTGTTTAATGTTTCATTACAGGGATGATTCCTATGCAACAGCAAGGATTTCCAATGGTTCCTGTCATGCAGACCAATATGCCAGGGATGATGGGAATGAATTATGGTTCTCAGATGCCTCCTGGACCCATGACCATGCAGGTGCCTGGCAATGAAATGTGGACTGAAATCAGTTACAGAGTGGTTTGAACTGGAAGAGATCTTAAGGGTCATCCTGTTATCCCCCCTGCCATGGGCAGGGACACCTCCCACCAGCCCAGGTTGCTCCAAGCCCCGTCCAACCTGGCCTGGGACACTTCAGGGATGGGGCAGCCACAGCTTCTCTGGGCAACCTGTGCCAGGGCCTGCCCACCCTCACAGGGAGGACTTTATTCCCAATATCCCATCTAAACCTACTCTCTGTCAGTTTAAGGCCATTCCCCCTTGTCCTGTCACCACGTGCCCTTGTGAAAAGTCCCTCTCCAAAAAAAGGGGGATGCCCTGGTGCTTGGCTGAGGGGTGACATCTCCTGCCCTGGTCCCCTCACAGCTACAGGGGGGTGAGGGTTGGAACTTGCCTGGAAACTGAAGCTTGGGTGTTAGTGTGTCGTGGGCCATCCTACTCTGTAGTATTCCCTTTGAGTGTATTCCTGATAAGTTAGAGATTCCTCCAGGCTTCCTCAGGATGTGCACGGAGAGTGGGGGAGTTCAGCACACATTACTCACTGTTGTAGAGAGATGAGGGTGTAGTGCAAGGACAGCATCAGTGGTATTTAAGGTAACTGGGAGGCTGTAGCCCACTCAAAGATGTCAGAATCTGAACTTTGATGTCACTCTATGTGTTGTGACACCCAAGTGTGATCAGAGAAGCCTGGTCTGAGCAGGGAAGGAAACAAAAGCATCAGCAATGTGTTGAAAAGCTCCCAGATGCCACCTACGCCCAGGTGGGGTTAGTAATGGTAGGGAATTGTTCAGTAACCAGTATTCAAACCTCCCACAGTGGAGCTCTCCTGTCTTTTTAGTTTTCCTTCGTGCTTTTTCCTCTCTCCTTTGGTTTGGTGGTGCTGTGTCATGTAGTATTTTCCACGAGATCTTTGTAAGCTGCTGAGGAGTGACTGTGTGCACAGTCTGATGGGTCATGATTACTTCACTGAATTGTTTCATCCCTCTGTAACAAAATGTGCTCACGTGAGTGGTTTCCCATTTATCCAACTTCCTCTTTCAGTCTCATTCTTCTTTTTCCTTGAAGTAACTTTGTCTTTAAGTGCTGCTGTTGCTAATTGAGGAATAAGAATGAAATATGAGCAGCTAATACTGTGTTTTCTCTCTTGTAATCCTTTGTTTTCTATTTAGTACCATATGTGCTTGTGTACAAATTTACACTTTGCTGAAATTCAGTGTTTTGGTGTGTCTTTGTAGCCAAATTGCTATGTCACAAACTGAATTTATGGTGTTTTGCCATCTCCTTGCACTCCCTTTCCACCCTCACCTGAAATTTATTACCTTATTTTTGTGAAATTTATAGTAGGAAGATGTTTTTATGAGAGCTGGTCTAAAAATAATAAACAACCTTTGTTTTCTCCTTAACGTGTTCTGAAACCAAATACAAAATGAATGGTATGGTAAGAAAAATAAATTATTTTCTGGGCTTCTTCTATCTTAGACAGCTTTGCTGTTCTATGCTCTAAATGCCCCAGAATATATTTCCCAGTGAATGTTTCTGATGCAGTTTATTGAGACAAGGTTCCTCTCAGCTCTTGCCATGTACTGACTCCCTCCCTTGGTTCCCTGGATAAGCTGTGTTTGGGACATGACTAGACCACGTTTTCCAGCATCTGTGGTTGGTAGGAGTGTGATCCCCAGCAGGCAATTTCAAAGTCTTATGAAATCACTTAGAACAGGAAACAAAAGTCCCAAGAAAACCCCAAAGTGTGGGACTGAACGATGTAGGATGGCCGTAGCCTTCCTGCTCTTGGGGTAGGTTGTTTTGGTTTGAAGTGCTGATTTTTGACCATCCTGTGTTCCCAAATGCTTTACGGGCTGTAAGTCCTTGTGGAGAGGAAGAGTGCCATCTACTGAGGGACCAGTGCCTGCTTCAGGGCAGCAGCTCCTGAACCTCAGCACTCTGCTCAGCCAGCTCTTCTCTGCGCTCTGAATTTCACCTGCTCAGCCCGGTCGGCAGTTCCCCAGGGTGGCATTGCCAGGGGTTTGGCTTTTTCTGTGAAAAACTCCCACAAAAATCCTGCATTTGAAAAAAAAAAAAAATCCGTTGAGGTTGTGTTGCTTCTGTTGTTGCAGGGTGGGATGCCCCTGGGGCCGATGCCGGCGGCCGGAATGCCGTACATGGGACAGGCATCTTTCCTGGGAATGCGCCCAGCCACCCCCCAGTACACCCCCGACATGCAGAAGCAGTTTGCAGAGGAGCAGCAGTAAGTGGCATTTCACTGACTCTTGTTTGAGGGGAAGATGTGGTTTCTCTGGAGCAGTGTCCGTTCAGGGCTGTAGAATATTGTGGAATATTCCATAGCCTTTGGAAGCAGAAACTTGCCGTGAAAGTCGTCACAGAAATTATTTTTAGATTTTTTTAAAAAGTCCTTCTCCCTCAGGAAGAGGTTTGAGCACCAGCAGAAGTTCTTGGAAGAAGAGAGGAAACGGCGGCAGTTTGAAGAGCAGAAACAGAAGCTGAGGCTCCTGAGCAGTGTGAAACCCAAGGTGTGTCCTGACAGTAACTGGAGCGTTGCCCTCCACAGGACTGGTGTTTTAATGGCTTTAATGGGATGGTCTCTTTCAACAAGCACATCAGTGGGGAACTCACTGTAGTCTGTAAAATAAATACTTTCTGAATCTGGGACTTAGTGTTATTATGCTTCAGGAGGTCAGTGCTGGAAAAGAAGGGCATAATCTAGCAGCAAGTATTGCTAATTCCAGCACTGAAGAAATGGGGTTCTGAAGTAAAACTGAGCAGTTCTGTGAATTTTTCAAAATGTTTTCTGTGGTGTTTCAGACAGGTGAAAAAAGCAGAGATGATGCCTTGGAAGCCATTAAAGGAAATTTAGATGGTTTCTCTAGAGATGCTAAAATGCACCCAACACCAGCATCACATCCAAAAAAGCCAGGTTTGTAATTTTCCTCATCTTCCAACTGAAAAATAAAACTCCAACGTTTGAAATCCTCAGCAGGGGGGAACTAATTCCAAAAAGTATTTTTATTTAGTGGTACAAAGTGAGTGGATTAACTGTTTTGTAAAATCAAGTGCCATTCTAGTAACTGTTGGCTTGTTCAGGGTATGAGGGGGAAATATTACATATCAGCCTTTATTAAAAGACTTGAAATCTTGAAAAGAAAGCTTAATGTGCTTTGCTTAGTGTGAAGCATCAAGGAAATTGATAATGCATTCTTTTCTAGTCAGAGCATTAATTAATGTTTTGCAGAGAGCTTTTGAAGATGGGAAGTGCTGTTTTAAGTGCTAAGAATGATCAAAACACTCTATAAAGACTCAAGTGGGGTGTTACAGCTGACTGGGGGGTCATTGGGCATGGTCAGACCAAGCCTCTGTTCTCAGTAATTACACTTGGAACAATTGCTACCACAGATTTCTTATGGACTGTGGTATATATTTTTCAGTGTCTAGGCTGAAACAAAGCTTATCTAGACAAGCTTTTTCCTCTGTAAAACCTTTATCTCTGCTGTGGATTCACTCTTTGATAATTAGGAAGTTACAGGTGGTTTCTGACAACTTCCCCTTCTCTGTAGATTTGCCTGTCCTGCACCAGTTTTGTTAAGATGGGTAACACTGGAAGGGATCAAGCAGAAAATTGTCTACATGAGCAGACATTTCTTTTGTATCTTATGATATATTACTGAGTTTCTGGGGATAAAACATTCCTCTGAGGGAGAATGTCCCCCTGTGCAGACCCCATTATGTCCAGTTTGAAATATTACCTCTGGATTTGTTTTAACCCTCTCTGTTTAAAACAAAGAATACTTTCACAGCCAGTGTTAAGAGCCAAGTCTCAAAATATTCATATCCTAAAAGCCTGGGAGAGAAGCTGCGTGGTTGGAAGTGGCTGCTCAGCTTTACCTTGTGTTTGTTGTGCAGACAATAACAACCTTCACATCTCCCACGAAACTCATCCAGCGCTGTTTCCCCTCACCCATTCTGTGTGTTTGCCACTTTTACCACCTTCCCACCCCCAAAGCTTTCTCCTCATCACTTTGCATTGTGTGTTCATTCCATTTACAGATCATCCCACACCATCCCATCCCGCTGTATCTGTTTCCCATTCTGCTTTTCCCGATGATGAAGAATTTAGTGACTTTATACAAGGGCCCGTTGAAATCCCCAAACTGGTGCCTCAACCCACCTCTCAGCCTTTCCAGCCTTTCCATCCTGCCACTGAGGCTGGGCAGCTGCTTTCAGAAAAGGCTGTGCTCCAACCTCTCCCTCCAGCCCAGACTCCAGTGTTGTCCACCCTGCACGGCACAGCTGGGCAGGTTCCTTATTTTCCTACCTCTGCATCTTCACCCAGTATCCATAAAACAGGTAACTCAAAAGTATCTTTTTTTACATGTCACCTTCTGAGCTACACACAGTCTTTACTTACTTTGTTGGGATTTTTTTTTAGCCTGTCTGGAAGAAGTAATATGTAGGCAATTAATAGAAACCTGCTGATCCCTGGAAAAGATGGTTTCAGTCCCTTTCTTCCTTCCCTTGGAGCTGTGCTGTAAGAGCAAGTCACATGTAGATCCAAATATTCATAAATACACAGATGCCTGATCTTAGGTGAATTAAATCTTGTGCTCTAGCATCTTCCTTAAGTCTGTGTGGTAGGAAAAGACACAGTGGAGATGGTGATGTAAAAAATAACTGCTGCTGTGGAGCACTTGTGTGCTTCCTCCCTTGGAGGCTGAAGGGGTGGTGGTGAGATGAACGTGAAGAATTTTGGAGATGTAAGTAGGTGCTGGGCACTTCTGCTACTGATTATGCAACAGTAATCCTACTACAGGAAATAGTTTCATGCCTTCCTTCTCCTTGTTGCCTCTTTTTTTGTTGTTGTTGAATTTGTTGTGTGTGTGGTAAGAATGGGGCTATGAAAGTGTTTGAAGAGAGTGGTGCCGTTGGTCTGAGCTAGGACAAACACTCATCTCTAACCCATCAGTGGTGCCAAGAGTACTTTTCCTTTGAAAAGTGTGGAATTGCAATCCGGGTGGTTAATAACAAAGTGTAAATAATTCCTCCTGCTGTTTATTCAGGCTCTTCCTTGGAGGAGAAAGTCTTAGCTAATGGCTCAAATGAATCTGAACAGGAGCAAACCAAACCTAAAACATCCGAAGGTGGGCACAAAGCCTCGGCTGCAAGCCAAGCTCATCCCAGTCTAACCAGCAGTGACTGGGATGTTGTAGGTGGACAGGAAACTGGTCCCACTGCTGCAGAGGTGCACAAGGCTTCAGAACAAAACAGAGCAGTTGAAGAGTGTGGTGAGCAATGGAAACATTTGACAGAATTTCAGTCTAATGAGACGCTGCTTGATCGCTAACGCTCAGCTCACTAATTCCAAGGCCAACCCTGAATAATTTTGCTCTGAACGCCTGCTTGAATAATGTGTCAGTGCCTCCTGCTCCTTGCTCAAAGTGTAACTGCCATGATTTTTGCTCTGAACTTTCTCCACATGAGTTTATTGCTGTAATCACCTTTAACACGTTTGTTTAATCAGGTTTGCTGCTTTAAAATATTCTGTCCTTCCTTGGGTCAATAAAAAGATGTGCTCTCTAAAGATTATGATTTTTTTAAGTATTTAAGGAAGTTTATTGCAAAAGTTGGTCAATGTCATGGTGGGTTTTAACCTTTTGACCTTGAGGGGTTAAGATCTTGTTAGGTTAAAACTCTTAGCTAGTTAATACTTGTTTCCCAGACAATTTGCTGCTCATATCTATTATGTCTCAAACTGTCTGGGCTTTAGGGATGAAAATTAAAAGCTGGACTAAATGAAAACTAGAATAGTTCCCAGTGTTGTTGAGGATGAGCTCAAGTACTTTGTGAGGAACAGGCATTTATTCTGCATTATCATGTAACTACAAATGGCAGACCTGTCACCTGGGTGTCATCAAGGTTTTGGGTAAGGCTTTCCTACCTGTCAGCTGAATATGCCTGAGAATTCCATGTCACTTACTGGATCCTCAGGGGGCTGAATTTTATCAGAGAGATTCAGGGATGAGAAGCAAGAGTTGGTAGGATGCAAAAGGGTATGGAAGAGGGGTTAAAGCTAAAGAACAATGATACCTGAGGAGGTAGCAAATTTATTTTACTTGGCTGGTGAAATGGAAGGAATTGCTTACATTAAAATGTGCTTGGAGTTGTGGGATGATTAGAAATTAGACTGCAGTCAGGAGGGAATCCATGTGGAAGATGAGGAAATGCAAGGGCACTGGGAAAGACAATGAAATCTGAAATTATTCTGATTTTTGTCAGAGCACCATCCAAGATGAGCATAAAATCTGCTGAGGGAGACCGAGGTGAAGAGTCCACACAGTGGAGAAGGAATAAGCAGTTTGCAGGGAGTGAAGTGTGGCAGGTGATGTTCTGAAAGGCTGTAGTAGTGACAGGGGCTGTGGTGTCCCCTGGAGCTGAAGACTGGGAGCAGTGGAAATGTGGAATACGATCTCGCTGAGGTTCAGTCTAACAGGCTGTTTGTGGATTTCCCAGGTGAGGATGTTCTGGTGGAACATTGTGGTTCTCATGGTAGGTATGGGTTTATTTATTCCACAAATAGCCCTAATAGATAGCAGGTAGTTGATGAGAAGCTAAATGTGATATGACACAGAAGTGCTGCTGTGAAATGGTGAGACAGTGAGACCTGTGCTTCTGTGCAGCTGGACATTAACAGGGAGGCACGTAAGGAGCTCCTGATTTCATTACACATATAACTGTTTTCTCTGTTACTACCAAATCATTCTAGTACTTATTTGGAAATACATATTCCTGCAGTATCTGTTTTTCCTCTGAGCACAGTGATTCCTATCTGAACTCTTTGCCTGAAATGCTGAGTGATGCTGACCAGCCATGGTCTGTTCTCTTAAGATCATCATACCCTGTATATCCTAATGCAGCTGCTGTTGTTTTTCTTACTGATTGGAATACATTTAGGAGTTGGAGTGTTCCCTTCCCAGGACCCAATTCAGCAAATGATGCCTCCTTGGATTTACAACGACAGCTTGGTCCCAGGTAAACAAGGCAGGGGCGTTTAGCCAGGTGGGCGGTGTGAGGGGTGAGTGTACCTGTGCTTGTGTGGCCATCTATGGATCAGAGAGTCACTCAGTCATCAAATGAATCCTGTGTCTTTGGTATGTTACATATTTATGGTGGCCTTATCTGCATTTGAGGAAGGATGAGTTTTATTCAAGCATGTTAAGAAATTCTAGTTTAAACATTTATGACAGCAGCTTATCCCAGTAGAGGTTGCATTGCTGATAATGCTGCTTTCATGGGTATTCTGGTTTTTGGTGTGTCTTTTAATTAGGCAGGCTCATTTCTGAAGGCTATTTATCTTGTATGTGTAAATAACACAGTGAATAGAAAATGAAATGCTGTAGTAAATACTGATTACACTGAGGTTTAAATACATAAAGCTGTTAGAACCATATTTTTATATGTGTTATCCTGCAATTTCATTAAAGAAACATGGTTTGAAATGGAACACTAAGTATATTTTATATAAAATATTTCTTGGCTTGTGTTAAGCTTATCTGTAAAGATGATCCAATAATGCTTTTGGATGAAGCACAGTACCAGGATGCTGCTATCTCACCTTATGCTGAGTGTTACTAATTTGATATAATGTTGAGTTTGAGACAGGATAGAAAGGCAATAATAAATTTATTTGGAAAGAGCACTTGTCACTGTCTAACACTGACTCCCTCTTGTACAACAGAGCTGTATAAGAAAATCTTAGAAAGCACTCTGACTCCTGCTGGAATAGATACAGCCAAGCTCTACCCCATCCTGATGTCATCTGGGCTGCCCAGGGAGACCCTGGGGCAGATCTGGGCTCTGGCCAACCGCACGACGCCCGGGCAGCTGACCAAGGAGGAGCTGTACGCGGTGCTGGCCATGGTGGCCGTCACGCAGGTACCGCTCGGGGCAGGGCACGGCACCGACGGCCCCGGGGGGGAGCGCCAGGGGCTGCTGCTCCACACTGGAGTAAAGCACTGCTTCTGGGGAGGAGAAACTGCCCTTGTAACTTCAGCAGGGTTAGAATGTTATCAGTTTCATGCCTTACTCCTTCAGTGTCAGTGGAAGTTCTTGGATACACTTACTTGTGTTTTTAGTATAAAATACTGCCTACTTTCCTCCTGTTGTATCGAGATCTGTTCTGCTCAAACTATGTGGCTCCTGTATCCCGTAGTCTGTGAGTCTTTCCTCATGGAAAGGGTGGTCAGGCCTTGGAAGGGGCTGCCCAGGGAGGTGGTGGAGTCCCCATCCCTGGATGTGTTCAAGGTTGAATGACTGGATGTGGCACTCAGGGCTCTGGGCTGGGTGGGGCTTTGTCACAGGCTGGACTCGATGGTCTCGGAGGGCTTTTCCAACCTCCGTGATGCTGTGGTTCTGTATTGAATGTAATTCACTTCCATTTCAGTGTAACGGGTGTCTGCTCGTTCCTTTGCAGAGGGGGATTCCCGCAGTGAGTCCCGACGTGCTGAACCAGTTTCCCGCTGCTCCTGTTCCCACTCTGTCGGGGTTCCCTGTGGCCCTGCCCGCGGTGAGCCAGCCCCCGCTGCTGCCCTCGGCCCCGCCGGGCTCCGTGCCCTCCGTGCCCTCCGTGCCCCTCGGCATCGGGCCCCCCGTCATGGGCATGGGCATCCCGGCCCCGGCCCCGGCGGGAGGAGCTGCAGCTCAGCCTTCCGGAGCCTTCCTGCCCTCCTACCCGCCCGGCCAGGTGAGCCCGCTCCCCCTGCCTGGAAAACCCCCTTCCCGGGAAAGGGAACTAGCCTGGAGCTGCCAGACCCACAGAGGGACAGCGGGCTTTGGGTAACTGGCAAAAAGCAGAGCTGAAATCTGACAGGTGATGTCTGAAAAGGTGAAGTTGTGCCACTGAGGGTGTTCTTTCACTTTTTCGGTTTCTTTCTGGTGGCACTAACAGAGGCACACAAGCATCTCCGTTACAAAGGAGGATTTTAGATGTAGTTAGGATTTTGTAATGCACATAAAATAGAATTTTATTTGAGCTACACAGCAGACTCTAATAGCTGGTAAAACAAGGGTTTTCAGGAGAAGCTGAGAACTCAGAAAGCCTTTGGTTTCCAAAGGTAAATCACGGCAAGGGGGGATAAATTTTGCTGTTTGCAAATATGGTTCATCCCTCAGAAAATCTCTCTTGTGGTGCTTTTGCTGTGTGATTGATTTTAAATTATTGATTGATTTAAATTATTAATATTTGCCTGTACTAAAAGATGACAAGGCTATGATCAGTAACACATTTACTGTGAAAGGAGTAGGGCTCCTTATTCACCTGTTCTTCATGCTTGCTCCCTGTAACCCTGTATACCTGGCGTGTGTGTGAGTTGGGTGAGGCACAGGCAGAGTGGAAATGCTGATGATGCTAATGCTGAAAGGTTCTTCTCCTTCCTTCTTTCCTCTTGGTCACACTGCTCTGAGCTGCTTTCATGCTGTATGGCAATTGCAAAAGCCAACAGCATAGCAATTTACTTGTTTGTAATTCAGGTAGTAAAACCAGAAGATGATGACTTCCAGGAGTTTCAAGATGCTTCAAAGTCTGGCTCCCTGGATGATTCTTTCACTGATTTCCAAGGGGATGTAGCCGGTTCCTCCAAAGCAGCCAGTTCCCAGCACCGGAGCAGGTACCATCTCTGATTTCCACCCCTGCTGTATTTTAGAACTCTTTTAAGAACTGAAATGTTTTCCTTCTTTGTGGGGACCTTTCTAGCCTGTAATTTTCATCCATCACCTGAGTTCTGCTCTGACAGTTTCTTTTGAAGGTTCTTACAGCTGCAATTAGACTTCCTGAATCAAAAACGGCATTTGCTGTGCCATAGGTGGTTGATTTTTCTTTAGCATTCCAGTCATCTTGCTGAGGTCAGTTGGGTTTACGAGGTTTGGATGTAGGTTTTGAGGGGTTTATAGTCCTGCACAGGCAATTGAAAGTTACTTCACACTGTGCATCCAGGGAGAAATCTTATATCAAGCTGTTCAGGAAGAATACCCTGGGACAGAGGAGTTCTGCATCCAGTATTGTGACCTCCCATTACAAGTAGGACCCCTCTAAAGTGGAAAAGTGCTTCTTGGAGTTCATAGAAACCATTTGCTCACATCAAGGTCTTTTCTTCAGGCCCTGAATATGGACCCCAAAATTTATGTCAAGAACACAACGTTGTACTCTTAAATACCTGAGAACTCCGGTGGACAGAGGGGTTATTTCTGTCATTTCTCTGTCCAGTGCTTAAACTTTTGATACCTGACTATAAATCTCAGTTGAAACCTCATTCAGAGTCCAGCAATTCTGGCTTTTCCTTGTGGGAGACTGCCAAGATGTAATTCCAGATCAGGTAAATTTTGAATAACAAAATAAGTAAGTGAGCATGTGTCCTCCCTTTGAGAGTTTGCAATTAATCTTTCAAAGTCTACAAAGACTACATAATTTCACCATTCTTTCCTTTTGCTGCTCATGGCAAACTTTTATGCAGCTCCCAGGTGTCTTAATTGTAGACAGACACACTTTCTGTGTATGAACTGACTGTTCTTAGTGGCAAACAGAACCAGGATTTCCAGGTGAGCGCTGATTACCAGGTGCTTCCTCAGCAGTGACATCAATGGGGGTGCTCAGCCAGATTGTTCTGTTACACTGACAGATGGTTTCTGTGTAAGAAAAGTTAATTTTGCTGATGGCATAGAATCCTGGAGTCGTTTGGGTTGGAGGGGACTGTAGAGATCATCCAGTTCTCACACCCTGCCATGGGCAGGGATATCTTCCACTATCCCAGGTTGCTCCAAGCCCCGTCCAACCTGGCCTTGAACTCTTCCAGGGATGGGGCAGTCAGTGCCACACAGATCTGAAGATGCTGTTTTAAGTATATCTTACATTAGATGTCATTTTGCCACTAAAGCTGATCTGTTACTGGAGGTTTTGACAGAAAACTGTTTGTAAATTGCACAATGGGAAGTAGGGGATCATAAAAAAAATTTCAAAAATGGTGTTTCTTTTTCACTGCAGCAGCTCTCTTTATTCGCTTGTGAAAGCGTTCAGTTTTGAACAAAATGTTACAATGAGCTATAATCTAATTGCTTATGGAGCTTTATTTAAAAAAAAAGCCATCTGTGGAGTACAACTGATTAACCATTCCATTTGCCAAGATTGCATATCTAATAGCCTGCTTTGCAGGGATGGGAAATTTAATTATATTACCATAAGCTCTGTTTTTTTGCCGTTTCACTGTCTGTCTGCAAGCACCACAGCCCAGCACCAGCACGTGTGTGAAAGTGCTTGGGTTGTGTGTTGCTTGGAGGCTGCTGATAAGGAGATTTAAATGGCTCTGGAAAGATTCTTGCTCCAGGCTGAAGAACACCATAGAAATTCATTCAGGTTTTCGATGTGAATGACACGAACTAGAGGTAAAATGCATCATTCATATGTAAAGGATGTTGTTGTGCAGAGCTGCCAAGGTCTGATAAGGGGGCTTGTGTGGAGGGCAAGCAAAGCTCTCCCAGAACAGCTCCTAAATCTTCCAGCAGTTGCTAACATGGTGTTAGGTTGTTATGGCAGTTCTACTGTAAGAAGTAGGGTGTGTTTATGCAAAAAGACTTGACTGTGGAACCGTGGATTAATCCTTATTTTGCTGACTAGATACCTGCCTAAACTCACTGATTGGCACTGACATAAATTCCAAGTTCTCCTTTCATTTTTAACACTTTATTCTCTTAATTTTGCAATATGTAGTGAAATATAAGCAAAATCAGATAAGCTGAAAGTATGGAGCTGTCAAAATCTTGTGCAGTTTTAGCTCTTTACTGTATCTAGTTGTATCAGGGAGAATTTTCAAAAGGCATCAATTAAGCAGCAGTGATTCCTGGGCTATGTCTGTGTGCTTGTTCTCTCCGGGGCTGTGAATTCCTGTGGTGTTCTGGAGTATTTTCTCCATGTTTTGATAGAAATTAAAATCAAGAATGGGGCAAATTGATTTCTGGCCTAAAAAAATATGATTAGGTGAGATAAAGTTGGGAATTCACCCAGCTGAGGCCGTTGACATCAGGTTCTGGACTAAGCACTCATTAGGGCAGGAGCTTAGGGGTAACTGTAATAGGAGGCTCCTGTAAATAAAACCTGGAAATGTAGATTTCTTGTGGAGGAATTAAGGAACTTTGCTTTTATCTCTTTTGTTTTTAGTGTTCCTTCCTTACTAATGCCACTCCCAGGTAATAAGCCGCTCTCACCAGCTGATAAATACGCTGTGTTTAAAGGAATGGCAGCTGAGAAGCCTCCTGAGACTGCAGCTGCTTTTGGAGGTAAAAGGACAAATACACAATCACTATGAGCCATTTAGTGTCATATTTTGTATCTTTTATTTTTGGCATTGATAAGATATTAATATTTAAAAACTAGAGCAATAATATAAAATTTACTCTGTGAATTCCTAATATATGTATGTCAATGCCTTTCTTTCCCCGTGTTCTCCAGATGGAGGGGACAAGTACAGCGCTTTCCGGGAACTGGAGCAGCCAGCAGAGAGCAAATACTTGGGTAAGCACTGGGGTTTTCACATATTTTCATTATAATTTTTAGCATTTCTCTGTACGAGCTGCAGAATTTCCGTTGCTGGAATTCCAAAATAATGGTGCTTCTGCTTCCCTAAGCAACTTAGCAGGAAGCATCCTGAAAAAAACTAGATCCTCTTGGAACAACCTGCTAATTGTGTTTCTGGAAGACTGGCATCTCTTCCGGGTGCTCCTGAGTTTTATTTTAAAGCAATGGCATGGTTGGAATTTGTTTTAATAAGGAGTCATGTGTTTCTGAAACTCCTGTGATGTTTTGTGAGGTTCTCATGCTCAGAACCTCTTGAGGATTAAATGGTTGCAGTGAAATGGGATAACATTTGATCTCATTCTGTACATGTTCTAAAATGTAGAAGATGACTGTGTTTGCCTGCTGTCCAGGTCTGACCACTCTTAACCCTTTCACCAGCTCACATTTCTAATGGGAAGCTTTGCAATTCATCAGTAAGTTTAGTTTGCTGTGCTGTTGTAGTTTTGATCAATGAGTGGCAATTTCAGGAATATTTATCTTGTTGCTGAGCCAAGTGAATTGGTTTGGAGGGGAGGGAGAGTGGAAGAATAGGTCAGGTGTGGTTGTGGTCCTTTACTACCATTATGAAGAGTATTCCTTTAAATCTGTGTTTAAAATCCAGTTAAACTATTTCAAAGTATGACACTGTGTGGTAGCTAAAAGATTAAATGTTAATGGTGTACTTCTAAAGTAGAAAAAATCCGTTTGTTGGACACTTGTCCTAAAGTAAGCATCATTACTTTAAAATTACAAGTAGTCCAAGTATGTACATGCTGGTGAATGGGTTAAACAAGTCAACATTTTCATGTTCAAAAGAAATTGCTTTATAAAAAAATATTTGTGTACGAACAGGAAGAAACTTAGAAAATTAGTACACCGAAATATTTAACATAAATTCAATGAAAACATTGTCAGCTAATGTTTAATCAGGTTTAAATTCTAATCCTTGCACAGCACGAGCTTGCATGCTCTGGGGAGTTGGGCTGGAGGTCAGCACTGGTGATTTGCTGTGCCCACGTTCCTGGGGGAGCCTGTCCAGGCTCTGAGCACAGCTGCAGTCAGCCTGGGCAGGGCTGGAAGGGCCTGCTTATGCTGCAGTTCCCGAAGTCCTGAGCACTTCTCACTGTGGATGTTCAGGTGAATCTGGCAGAAAACAGGACTGAGTAGATGCTCCATGAGGAAACTGCAGTATTTCAGGGGGAGGAAGGGAGGAATTGCTTCTGTAAGGAAGCAAATACTGAACTGCTATAAGTGACATTCAGAATTACATTTATTGCTTGGCAAACACGAGAAGGACGAGGTGGGGAGAGGAACTTGAGTGGAAGCTGAATAAGAGAGTGTTGATCACCTTTTGAAACTGTTTGTCATGGTGTGTTTTGATATGAACTCAGTGAGAAGGGAATTTAATATGACTTCAGGAATGAAGCGTTTGCTGGAGTGGATATTGGAATTGCTGACCTTGACACTTGTGTGGCAAATGGAAGTTGAGTTTGCAGTTCTGTGTGCATCCGGAGGTCTTTAATTTAAATTGTTTGCATAAAAACTTCTGACATTGCATGAAATAATTTGCTTGCTTGCTTGCACGGTGTGAGTATGATGTATTTGTTGCTGCAGTGTTTTACTGTTGTTTTCTCCCTGTTTTCGTTCCCAGGAGATAACCTTGCAGAGTTCAAGCCCGCAGGAGTCGATGATGGTTTCACAGATTTCAAAACCGCTGACAGTATCTCACCATTAGAGCCACCCACAAAAGACAAAACCTTCCCTGCACCCTTCCCTCCTCTGCCTGCTCAGCCAAAGCAGCAAACACAAGCCAAGACCCCTTTGAACCTGGCAGACTTGGATCTCTTTTCCTCTCCTGGAGAAAACAAGCAGCCGTCCTTTCCACCTGCATTTAACACCTCAAAACCGGGCTCCTTTCCTCCCCCGCCCCTTCCATCCACCACTGCCCAGCCAGCACCCAGCAAAACTTCCAGCTTAGCTGATGACTTTGGAGAGTTCAACCTTTTTGGGGAATTTTCTAACGGCGCATCAGCCAGTGGACAAGATGACTTTGCAGACTTCATGGCTTTCAACAACAGCGGCGGATTTTCCGAGCAAAAACCGGATGACAAATACAATGCACTGAAGCTGGAGGCCGGTCCTGTTCCTCAGGCTGGCTCTGCTGCCAGCACAGTGAAGGGTGGGCAGAGTTCTGCCACCACTGCTACGCCCACCAAGTATGACATCTTCAAACAGCTGTCTCTGGAGGGCTCCGGAGCGGGCTTTGAGGAGGCGAAGGACAGCACGCTCTCCTCGGTGAAGAGCGATGATGATTTTGCCGACTTCCACTCCAACAAGTTTTCTTCCACGGGCAGCAGCGTGGATAAGTCACTGGTGGACAAAGTGGCAGCTTTCAAGCAGGCCAAAGAAGACTCTGCCTCGGTGAAGTCCCTGGATCTGCCGTCCATCGGGGGCAGCAGCGTGGGCAAGGAGGATTCCGAAGACGCGCTGTCTGTTCAGTTTGACATGAAACTGGCTGATGTGGGAGGAGATCTTAAGCATGTCATGTCTGATAGCTCTTTGGATTTGCCAACAGTTAGTGGCCAGCATCCACCAGCAGCAGGTGAGGAACTGGTTAGATTGCTCTGGTAGCAGAGGTGGTGGAGGTTTCGTGTTCTCTGTGCTCAATTACAGTATTATGCACTCGTCTTTCAGTAGTGGAAGACCCTCAGTGTGTGTCCCCGCCAGCCAACGGCCCCTCAGCGGGGCAGTGATTAGTGTTTGTCCTAGAAGACTATAAATAGAACAGTTCGAACTCCAGGCCAATTTATTTTTGAGATTTGACAACATCGTACTGGTACCTGTTTGCTATTGGCACTTGAGGGACTCAAGTGGAAAATATTCTAATGCAAACAATGTCATTCCGTTTTTATCAGCAGGATGATGGCAGAGTCTCCCTTTAATCTTGGTTTCCACAAAGCATTTGGCTTGGGGGCTTCCCAAGGGTCGGCAGAACACTAATTTGGGTTGTTAATGAGGCTCTGACTAATCACCAACACTGGAGTATTCCCCTTATGGGGGGGCTCAGTCAGTGTAGCCAGGCTCTGCAGGACTGCAGGTAGAGTATTTCACAGACCCTTTAGTGTTAAATCCCTCCTAGGAATCATTGTGCCAAGGGGCTCCAAGTGCTGCTCTCCTGATTGGGAACTCTTGGACCTAAATTTAAACCATGGGACTCCTACTTTATCAGGTTTCCACCTGCTTGAATTTCCCTGTATGACATCATTCCCAGGGGAGTGAACTGACCATCTGATCCGACCACAAAACAGATTTCCCAAGTGTCCTGCTTTTTCTGTTCACGTATACATAGGAGATAAGCTGTAGTTAAATGTTCTGTGGCCTTCAACAACATGGGAACCATTACTGTGTTCTAGAACAAGTTTAATGCAGTCAAAGGCTTTTCTGAACAGGGGAACATACAAACTGTAAATGTAGAAGCTCTTACTGCAAGAATTGGTTATTTCCACATGAAGTATTTCTTCCATTTTTTGCAGATATGGGTAGAAAAAAAATATACAGTACTGTAATTTTGCATTATATGATATTTTTAAGTAGGGGTGAGAATTAAGTTGGCAACTTTGAGGTGGAAGATACTCTCTAACAGGGTACAAAATATCAGGAATAATTTATTAGCAAAGACATTTAATTTTCATATTACTGCTTGGGAAAATTCCAAGTTGAGTGAGCTGTCAAAAACGTAGCACCTACAGTGTATTCTTGAATGTTTACTTTGGGTTTGAAAGCACTTTTTCCTAATATTTTTCTAGCCTCTTTTAGTGGTAGTTTGACTTCTGTAGCTCTTTACAGGACGTGAGCTTTTGCCACAGCAATCCTTGATGAATAATTGCCGTTTGTGGCAGGAAAAGCCTTTTTTTGGTTTGTTTAAGGGGGTTAGCCCTTCACGTGCTTGTTGCTAAACTTTTGAACTCTGAAGTACTAATTAGAAGCTATTTTTATTAAACCAGCCTGTATTCTCCTATGGTGCCAAGCTGGATGTTACTCCACAGGGAGGGTTTTGCTCCTTTTAACTGTTTGGATTCCGTAGCAGAACACGCTCTGGACAATCTGCTGCGAACGCCCCTGTGCTCCCCTGTTCCTTCCTGCGGGTTTGGTGCATTTCAAGCTGTGAAACTGCTGATGGGCAAGTCCTTTTTTTTTATTTTTTTTTTCCCCCTCCAGTTTACATGAAGTTAAAAAGCAGATTTATTTATTTTTTTTCCCCTCTCATAATTTCCTTCGCTCTGTAAATGTAACGTCAGAAAGGGACGGTGCCCCTTTGTCACCTCGCTGCTGGGAAAAGGGGGAGACTGCTCCTTGGGAGCTGCATTCCTGCAAGCCCTGTGTCACATCTCCGGTGGAACAGCAGCGGGACAGAGGTGCTGGGGGGTGGTCTGGCTTGCTGCCATCCCCACACAGAGGTGTGTTTATCCCTTGGCTCTGAGATCTCACCCTGGAACAGCTTCCAGGTATGGGCAGGTAGGTGCTGACGCTGGGAATTAGGAAGAAATCCCTGAGGTGCTTCCCGTGCTTTGTCCTCTGAGGGGTGAAAGGTTCCCAGTTTTGCTCTCTCCGAGGGGGATACAGTCTCTTTAAACTTTGCTCTAACTCTGTGTGGAAGGTAGATGATACTAATTATGTTGCCTGATTTCTCTTGCATTCACTCCCTATAACCCTTTGAGCACTGGCTGCATGTTATTAGTTTGAACCAGGCTGCTTCTTTTCTACCAAATTTCGTTTCCCTCTGAGTTGGAAGCATTTTAATCAGCACCTCCTCGTGTTGGATGGACCTGGTCTGCTCTTCCTGCAGCGAGAGCGAGCCCCGGCCGGGCGCTCCCAGAGGGTTGTTCTGCTGCACTGGCACCCCTGTAAAGTACCTTTTCCTTTGGCATTATTGGAGATCTCTGTATATTTTAATCGACTTCAGGTTTTTTTGCTGCTTTTTCTAATGTCTGATTTCAACTAAACATTTCCTGTGTGAATGTGCCTTTTCAGATCTGCTTTGATATCTCTCTTCTGCAAGTATTGACCTGCATGCTTTACTCTGATACCGCCCTCCCGAGCCTCTCTGTATCACTATCTTTTGTGATCTGTAAGTCCTGCTGTGTTAATAAATATTATCTTGGCATATTTTCAAAACGTGGGGATGTGTGTGATTTGTTGCAAACCAGCAATGTATCTCTTTCTCTTCAAAAATACAAAGTTTAAAGTTCTAGTATCCCCTTAGGCTGGTGGGTGCCTTTCCTCTTGCAGAGCAGAGTGTGGATGAGCTTCTTTCTCCTCTTCCAAAGCTTTGACCTGGCTCCCTGTGACCTTCTGAAACTTTACATATCAGCCTAAATAATATTTTTCAGAAGAGCAGTGTTTGAGTAGAGAAAATGTGTGGTGGCAGGGTTTTTTCTGTGAGTTGGAACTGGAAAACTGTGTTGCTGGCTAGACCTTTTTGAGTAGAAGCCCATCAAATAATATTCAGATATTTCTTTAGCTAATCTGAAGTTCATCAGAGCCCCAAAGTAAACACCCTGCTCCCTTTTTCCATTTTGGGAGTCCTGCCTTCTGAATATCAAAACATTCAGCCATGAATGACAGCTACCAATTTGTGGCCTGTAATTATGTCACTTCACATTCCTCCAAATCCTGGGCCTCTGGCAGCTTAGGATTAACATTAAATTAGCAGACAAGGTAAAAAGCTGAAAATAATTGAGATGTGGAATGAAGTTAAAATGTTGTGGGGTTTTGGAGTTGCCACAAGAGTAAAAGCCAGACCAGGAAGCAGAATGTGGCTTTTCTTTGCACTGAGCTTGAGAGGCTTTAAAAGAAAAAGGGAAAAAAACCCACCCCACAACAGCCCTCTTTGATTCTGGAGATCAGTAGGTCATGCCCAGCCCTAAAGCTTTTTAAAGCAAAGCTTTGAACATAAACCTGAGCCCTAATTCTGCAGGGCCCAAGCTGTTTGTGTTTGTTCAGCTAATCACACCTGGAGGAGGGAGAGGAACGTTCAAGGCTGTATTTATTACATTTTTGTCCAGACTTGACAGTCAGATTCACTGCCTTGCTCTCATTGAAGTCAGTTCTGTAAACAGAGGAGCTTATCCACCCGGATTTATCCCGGGAATGTCTCTGACACGTTTGCCATGGCCTTCCCAAGGGCACAGGGGCAGCAGCTGCCTTGGGCCTCTGTGGGACTGAGCTCCCAGTGTGAGCTCAGGGGGCTTTGTTTTGCTGTGAAACATTGTTTGTAGTGATAATTTAAAGGTAATTAGCAAATCCTGTAATTCCATCAGGTTTGGAGGCTTTTCTTTTCTGTTTCTTTCATTTTCATTTATTTTACAGTCAGCATTCTTGATGGTTTCCACCTTAGGTACTTCCATCCTGTAGGGACAGGAAATGGGAATAATTCCCTTATTATCAGCTGTTCCAGCTGAGAAATGGGCTTTGGATTTTTGTGGTTGCTGGCAGGCAAGACACCCACAGCAGCAGTGCACACAACCCCGTGTTCCCCCAGTTTCCTCCCACCTTTGCCAGGTGGAGACCCTCTGAAGTGGTGAGGAGGTGGTGCTGTCTCCATCCAGGCCCTGGATCGTTGCTCAGGCTGCAGGGGATGTTCCCAGGGTAACAGGATTGCTGCTGCTCCACTGGGAGCAGAACTGCGTCACCCTAACAACCAAAACGTGGCACAGGACTCACAGTGACTTCATCAGGATTTCACAGACACCGAAATCCAAAAACCTGAAACTCTCCTGTGCTGGTGAAAAGCACTAAATTTATTCCAGTCCTCTGGAATTGCCTTTTCACTGTTCTTTAGGCGATCACTGATGCTGTCAAGGGTTTTCCTTGAATGATTAAGCTGTTGACATTGAAGGCTCCAGCTTGTAAATGGCCTCCAGCCATAACTTAATCCTTGGTAGTTGGAATAAATTATTATAGTTGGCTCAAATCAGGGATGGCAAGATTTTCTGCTGATGAGATAACACTGGGAAACAGGATTTTAATTGTATTTCATCCTGTCAGGCTCATACAGGTGTAGCTGGTCCCAGGTGAGGGTCAGGCAGGTTGGACTTTGCGTTTGGGAGTTCAGATTGGATGGAAATCTAGATGGAAAATAGATGGTAAATATTCCAAACCTTTTGATTTGGAAGAAATACTAATTGGGTTTGGTTTTAACTTCTTTACAAAAAAACTGTGTCCCCAAAATGAAGAATTTTCGTAGAATTTTGAATGGATTTAGTCTTTGCTCTTTTTTTTTTTTTTTTGATGAAATTTGATGCTTCTCATCAGTTCAAATCCTGTTCTTACTCCTGTCCTCCAGGAGGACATTGGGGTTGCTCTGTGGCCTCTGTCTTGCCCAAGTGTGATGCTTAGTTAGAAGTAATTAATTTCCCCCCTTACTTAATCGTCTCTTGCTTTGCGAAAAGTATTACTGATAGACATTCATACTTAAAAATATTTAATTTTTAAGTTTTTTCACTGGCAAAACAAAGGCTAAGGCTGCCCCAACTGTAACCAGAGCTGACACAGATCTGTGCTCTTGGAGGAGCAGCTCTTAACGCTGCTTGATAAACCCGTCTTTGTGCCAGCAATAAAGACACTCCCACCACAGAGAGCTCCTGGGGGTCACCAAGAACTGCTGTGCACGTGGGAGCTGCTGCTACACTTATTGGTGGTGGCCACTGCTCTGGAACCTGCCGGGGGTAAAACCCCTCCTGGTCAGGCAGCAAATGTGCCAAGAGCTCAGAGGATGCTTTTGCTTTGCCGTGCCTGTGACAGAGGGGAGGGTTTGACTTCCTCTCTTCAGAAACCTCCAAGTTGTGGTAAATGATTCTCTGAAGTGCAGCACATGGCACAGCAAAATGGTGTAGGTTTTCTCCTGTAAAATTCTTCCCAAAGTGAGTTTACCTGGGCTTATGGGCAGTTCCACATTCTTATTTTCCATGCTTTTCCCTAAATTGTTTTCAAACGGCTCGAGCTGTAAACACTTCAGCTCTGAACACGCTGTTTTTCCTGTAATATAATTCTCCTAGGGAAGTTCATTCACCAGAGTAATCCTGTTGGAACTATCCAGATAAATCAAATGTGCAGAATTGGACCATTGCATTTCACCTCAGCCCTCACAGCTCTGCAGAGGTTTTGTGTCTGCCTGAATTCGCAGAGACAATCTTGCATCTTAGTTTGTGAGTAACTAAACTGTTCTTCAGCCTTCCCTGCCCTGACCTATTGATTGCAGGGGAGTTCAGGATTCCCCTCCGGAGCCTGCTGCTGGTCCTGCCTGTCCCTGAGCCAGGGTGGGATCAGGAATGCACTGACCTGGTCCTCTGGGATGTGTTTGCAGCTCAGAATCCTAGCAGTTATCAAAGGAATAATTCACAATAGGACGTGAGTGTGCAGGTCCTCACAGTGGGCTCATCACTCTTCCCTTTCATTCCCAGGGAACACTGGAACAATAGCAATGCTCAAATCTTTGCTGGGCTTTGGAGTCAACACAAATTGGAAGAGAAAAAGGGGTTGCCTAGTAGCCGGTGGTATTTCCAAGATCCCAGGATTAATTACAGTTGGCTGACATGTCGGAGGTGCTTCTGGCTCCCTCTTTCATGCAAAGCTTTCATTTCCCTTCTTTAAACAAAAACTTGAGAGCACAAGATGTGGTTTGTGGTGATGAATCACCGGTCCCTCTCCCGTCGGCTCCTTTCACCTCGGAGCCTCCTTTCCGTGCAGTTCTGCTGTGAGCAGGTGATTTCATCTCTCCTCTGTTTACCTTCTGCTTCTCTGCACATTTGATATTCAAGTGGCACTTTGAAATCTTGCTGTCTGTGTGCGAGGGGCTCAGTTTGGATTTGGGATGCTGTCACGGGCAAATTGGCAGCTGCAGGAAGACCCTCGGGAAGAGCTGATGGATGACACACCGTGCCTGGCTGGCCCATTAAACTCCATCATTATATTGTGTATTTGTTAGATTTTTCATTAGCAGTGTATGTGGGTCATGCCTGGGAAGCAGCCTGAAGCCTGGCCTGCTCTGCCCTTCCAGTGAAAGGAGTAAACCGAGGCAGAAATGGTTTGTTAAAATGGTTTAATCCTCAGGCTGATGTGGCTGGATCGAATAAAGAGGGCAGCTGGGGAGTCAGCTTGTTCCCACCCTGGCTCTGTTAAACCCCAGTGTGCCAGACCATGGTGTTTATCACCAGAATCTCAGCTCAGACCACACTCAGAGAACGCATTTTGTGGTTTGGGTTTGCTGTGCCTCGAGCCCGCTGGACCCCGGGCGCTGTGCAGCCGGATGTCTAATCCGAACTGACAATTGCTAATGCTGGAAAACAAATGCCAAATGTAGGAGAGGAGGCTTGGTTTGTTGGTTTTTTTTTTTTAATGCTTTAATGAAAACTGCCCAGCCCCTGGCTCTGTGCCTTCACTGGGGATCAATCTCAGTGTGAAGGTGAAAGATCAGTGGGGTGGGAGCAGCGGAGCCCCCGGGCACTGCAGGCTCTTTCTCATCCCTGCCCGTGGCAGGGAGAAGAACCTATTGGCCCATGTAATCACCAGGTGAGTATAAATGTTTGGAGCTTTCTGCAAAATAATTGGATTTTCTCTAGACTTAGCTTTTACAAACTGTTTATTCAGTTAAAACATGATCTTCCCAATACCCCTGTCAGTCCTGGCACCTGGAAGTTGGACGAGTCGGCCGTGCAGCGCTGCAGGAGCTCTGATAAGCTTAAACAGGATTTCTAGTTTTTTTAGATTCTTACAGCACATTTTTATGTGTTATTTGTATCAAAGCGTGAATATAAAATTAAGGTGTATTAATACTTTATCGGAGGAATGGAAAAGTCAGCCCAGTCCTCTGTGTGGCTGGGTTTGATAAGATGAAATAACGTGTTAAGATGTTTGAGTTGTAACATTTATATTTTGATTGTAGATCCTGCAGCCAGGAAGCTGAACTGGTGATCTGTGCAGCCTGGACTGGCCAGAAACATTGATTTTATTCTTTTTTAGTCTTTCTTCACTACCTGTAGCAGGGTGGTGACTTTGAGCTTAAAACGTAAGACAGCATTCAAAGGTCAAGGCTTCCATTTATTGAACTGGGAGACTTTTGTGTTAAATGCTCAGGTGTTTTTCAGATTATTTTTGTGCAAACTTCAGTTGGAGGCTCACCGGCACTCCGCTTCCCGGGCTTGTTCTCCCGGTTCTTTCAGCCTCTCGGCCGGTTGCGTTTGAACTTCGGCCTCTAATTGTGGGGGTTTGTTTCCCTCAGATATCGATGACTTAAAATGTGCCCCTCTGGGAAGCTGCACCAGTGGCTCTGCAGTCAGCAGCCTGGCCAGCTCCGACTGGTCCGACAGAGACGACCTCCAGCAGGGCAAGAGGCTCTCCCAGCCCTCGGGGAGCGGATCCTCCGCGGCCACTTCTGTCCTCCAGAAGAAGGAGACCTTGTTTGGCAGCTCGGAAAACATCACCATGACAACGGTTTCCAAAGTGACAACCTTTTCCAGCGAGGATGCCTTACAGGACGTTTCCTTTGCAGCCTTTGCAAACTTTAAAGACTCCGGGCCGATCTCCAGCGGGCCAAGCGACGATGACATCGCAGACTTTGGGGATTTTGCGAGACCTTCCTCGGAAGCTCGGGGTGCAGCAGCAGCTGACGCAGCCCAGGAGGCAGATCTCCTCGCTGCCGGTGTCTCCTCTGAGCTGCGAAGGGAATCCACGGATGACTTTGGAGAATTCCAAAGCGAGAAACCAAAAATCAGCAAGTTTGACTTCTTGGTGGCAACTTCCCAAGGCAAGGTGAAATCCAGTGAAGAGATGATCAGGAGTGAGCTGGCTACCTTTGACCTGTCTGTGCAAGGTAAGCCTGCACAGGGTGGAGGAAGTTTATGATGCATCTGCTCATCAAAGGCTAATTTTCCTAATTGAATTATAAAATTGGCTAATGGAGGCTGCTGGAAATGACCTGAATCTTCTTGTTGATTTCTGTGGCATTTGGAGCTGGTCTTTTTCTACAAGGAAAGCATTTATTGTGCCAAAAAAATTGTAAGAAATGGAAAACTGGGGAAATTTATACCAGTCACTGGGTAAACAGAAGGATTTGTTCTTCCGGAGGAGTGGGACAACACTTGGTGCCGCTTCATACATTTTAAATGCTCTGTGATTTATGAGTAAAGGAGTAACTTGTTTATAACCTGCCTCTTTAGGGTCTCATAAAAGGAGCCTGAGCCTGGGTGACAGGGAGATAAGTCGCTCCTCACCTTTGCCAGCCCTGGAGCAGCCGTTCAGGGATCGCTCCAACACCCTGAGCGAGAAGCCGGCACTGCCCGTCATCAGAGACAAGTACAAGGACCTGACTGGGGAGGTGGAGGTAAGGGATTACCTGGAACAGGAGTGAATGGGCAGTGACATCATCAGTGACATCATCAGGGTGAGCTCAAGGGTGTTCTGTATCCAGCTTTTTGGGACTTCAGCTCTTTGAACTTGGGGGGTGATTCTGAGGTGGTGTGTGGGTAAAGCTGGCTGTTGTGAGTGGAGACTGCTCTTAATGGAAGTTTCTTCTCTTGTGTCTTTAAAAGTCTTGTGAAGTGGGAAAATGCTGTTGTCTGAAACACAGAATCACTTGACCTTGCAGCCTAAGCTTATAACTGGAAATTAGTTACAATTTAAATCTAATCCCAGCTTTGGCACGGCAGAACCATTTGCTTTGGGAAATGGCATCACTTTTTGGCTGCATGGTACTTATTTCTCTTGCTCATCCTGAGAAGGGATGGGAAAAGGACTCAGATTAAATTCTGCTAATCCGCATCTCTAGAACAGCAGACTGTGACAAATGTGTCAGGAGGGGGTATGTGCAGTGAAACTTTTTACTCATATATATGTTCTTCCTTTTGTGACTCCCAGAAATCAAATTTTAGAGTTCAGGTGCAAAGAGAATGTTGAGAGAATGGGAGAAAAATTAAGAATAGATATGTCGAAAGTTCACATGGCTGATCTGCAGATAGTCTTTTGAAATACCTTTCTGCTGTGTGTCTGTTGTGTGAGAGAAAGGGAAATAAATGTGGGCAGGAATAAGACTCAGCCTGTCCTTCCTCTCCCCAGGAAAGTGAGAGGTACGCCTATGAGTGGCAGAGGTGCCTGGAGAGTGCCCTGCAGGTAAGTCTGTCACCTCCTCCTCCTGCAAATCCTTCCCTGATCCCTGCAGGAACCACCTCACTCGCTGTTTAAAACCAACAGGCAGAGGAAGGGTGGGAATCAGCCCTGGGAATTACAAATTAAAACCCCAGAGCTGTCACCCAGCAGCAGCAGCAGCGTCACCTCCCCAGCTCAGCGCCCTACACTAATCTCCCTGTCACTGGGGATTAGTTTGGCTTTTCCCTCAAGGTTCCAGCTCACCAGTTAGGGGGGTGTTTCTGGGTTTTGGTGCTCAGAGCACTGTACCAGGATGTGGCTCCCCAGGGGTTCCTGAGGAACAGGTTTGTTTCTGTGCTGTGCCGAGGGACCATTTGTTTGCTGCTGACCAGTGTCAGATATTTCACAGCCAGGTCAGCTCTCCTTAAAATTCCTTCTTTGCATTTGAGTATTAGACAGCCCAAACTGTGAATGCTGTTACTAAACGAGGTAGCAAGGCGTGCATGCTCTTAAAACTCTTATTTTGTAATCAAAATACCGGGGGAAATACATTAAGGTTTTAAATATTCATCCTTTCCCCTGATCTGCTTACAGCAGGAGTGTATAAAAACATGTGGTGGAGTGTAGCAAGCATTTCTTATTTAATTTGCCTCTTTTTTTGTATAACAGTTTCTGCTGGGGACAGTCCTGTTCATAATGATTATTTAAAGGTAGATAACCCCATCATTTTATGAAATTCATTTCTACCAGGTCATAAAGAAAGCAAACGACACCTTAAATGGAATAAGTAGCTCATCTGTTTGCACTGAAGTTATCCAGTCTGCCCAAGGCATGGAATATTTACTGGGTATGTTTCAATTTTCCATGTGTTTTACGTTGAAAGTTCTTCTCTCAAAAACAGGAACATAGAACCAGTCTTCCCAAAATGGCATTATTTTTTAACTTAATCTTTGCCTGCACCTAAATAATGAATAACTATTCTGCTAAATAAATGCTCCTCCTGCTTTGAACGAACCCTCCATGCCCACCTCTCCTGTGCCATCCCCATTTTTGCCACGTCTGAGTTAAAGTTCTGGCATCCAGCGCATTCTTTGCAATCCTCCCCTGTGTTTTACATCCCCAGGGGTTGTGGAAGTCTACAGAGTGACGAAGAGAGTGGAGCTGGGCATCAAAGCAACTGCTGTTTGCAGTGAGAAACTGCAGCAGCTGCTGAAGGACATTGATAAAGTGTGGAACAACCTGATCAGCTTCATGTCACTCGCTGCTTTAACGGTAAGGCCAGAAAAAGCTGCCTGGTTGCTAAAAGAAATGTCATAATTGGATTTAAAGTGACTCCAGGGGGTGTCCCAACTTTACAGCGTGTGTTTTTTTCTCTTGCCAAATGTAAATGCACTTAATTTTGAAATCCAGTTTAAAACTCTCTAAGAAAACTGTTGTTTATGTACAAACAGTTGATTGAGGTGATATCCTGTGTGTCTGTGGACATCTCCAGTAAGGAAAATTTAATAAAATTCAAATAAGCAATTTTATGAAACCAGAATAGCATGGACATAACTTGTTTTTTAATATCCCTACAATTAGTTTTAGTGCTCACAACTCCAGAGCACACAGTGTAGCAACACAGGAATAACTAAACTGTTTTCCCTCTCCTTGCATTTGGAAATGCCCGAGTTTGTTTTGGTTCCTGCTGCAGACTGAGCAGCTTTTCCTCTCCTGAACTGCCAGGAAAAGCTCCACTGCTCCCTGTCAGGAGAGCTTTGGACATCCCTGGGTGAGTGTGACAGGCAGAGGTGGTCTGAGGGTTGAGCAGGAGCATCCCATGGGATGGGTCTGCAGAGGAACTGGGAAGAAGAGGGGCACAGTGGGGCCCAGAACACAGACAGGAGGCAGGAAAATCACTCTGCCATTAAATACCCGGGGGATTTTGGAGGTATTTGTGTTGCAGGAAATACAATTGCAAAATGACTTTCTTTACCCAGGGTAAAACTGGTATTTTTAGGGAATTATCTGTGTTGCTTGATACTGAGTTGCATAATGGCTCCCTTTAACTCCAGCATACCTGAGGAGTCTGTAACTCTGAGCCAGTATCAGCACAGCCCATCGAGCACCACTGAGCAGATCATTACCATGGGTAGGTTTTCACTGAGCAGTTTAATTTGTGGCTTCTGCCTTGCACTGCAGCTGTGGCCACAAAAGGTCTTTGCTTCCCAGTAAACAATCATTTGTAAGTAAGGCCTGGAATACTTGGTTTCTGCTTGAAATATCCACCTCCAGCTCACTGTCATTCCCTGCAGAGCAGGTGTAATAAATGATCAGCCCCTTTTTACACAACTCTAGCCCATTTGAAACCTCCCCAGGTGTTTTGGTGGTGTCCTGTGGTGCACAGAGCCTGTCCTAGGGAATTTATACCCTCAATATCCTCCCGCTCGGCAGAGCGAGCTGACAGACCTGCATCCACCTGCTGGACTTCTTGTTGTTGATAGTACCAATCTCAGAAGGTGTCAGGATCTTCTCCTGATTTAAACAGGTGGATTAAAATACAGTTCTTAAAGTGCTTTTCCTTGGGAGATTACAGGGATTACTTGGAAGTCCAAAGCTTGGCCACGTGTTCTCTGAGCCAGAGCAGCTCCTGGCTGGCAACTCCAGATACATTTTAAACACAGCAGGAGCTGCAAACAGTAACTTCTCATGTGGACACACAGTCCCTCTGAACTTATCCAAGAAGGAGGGACTCCTGGCTCCTATAACTCTCCAAATCACCCCTTTTTTTTGGTTCTCTTCCCCACGGGGCCCACTGGAAGGGGTGAAACCCACACCTCCCTCCCTGGTGTTGCAGTCACGGATCCCAAATGATGCAGAAGTGCCAATTAACTGGAGAGAAGTATTCCAGCTCCCGGGCATGTGCCTGGAAAGGTTAATTTTATCTTTTAGGGGATTTTGTTACAAGGTAATTTTATGCACAGCCTTGTGGTTTTTCACAGCAAATTGCAGGATGACCTTCTCATTTGCTTCACTCATGCATTTGGTAAACAAATATTAGAGTGCCTTTATTAATTTGATTGATCTACTTAGAGATTAAAGGGTGGTTTTGTTTTCAGGATTCCAATTATTCTCCAGCCATTCAGCGGGGCAGCGTGAGCAGCATAACCAGAGTGTGGATTAAGAGACATGTCCTGGGATCACACCATTTTTTTAAGCCATTGTTTTTATTTGCACTACTATTTTCATGCAAAATTTGAATGGTTTTATACTGTCCTCATGCAAAATTTTAACTGATTATTTGTCCCATGGCTGAAATCTGAGGTTAAGTACTGGAAAAGTGACTGTATTAATTTATTTCCAGGTTTATTCTCCCATCCTTTGCCTCTCTTTAACCTGAGCTTTGTGGCTGGTGACCTGAACTCTGTGTTTTGGTTAAACTGAGTACCCCATTTTGTACTGCTCTGCCATATTGTAGGTTCAAAACAAACAAACAAACAAACCAAAAAGAATAAGAACTGCCCTTTTTTGCTCAGGCAGTAACAGAATCCAGGACAATCAGCCCTGCAGCAGCCACCTCTCCAGTGCTGCTGGGAGAGCAGAGCTGGCTGTGCCTCCCTCCCACAGCTGCACAAATACCTGCTGATCCACTGTTTGCCTTCCTCCAGTCCCAGCTCCCAGCAGCCTGGGCTCCTTCCCCTTTTGATGTGGGAATGTGCAGCTGAAGAATTCCTTCCTTTGTAGTCACAGCCTTTCTCAAGAGTTCTGGGTGTTGTAAATTAGTGCTGCTGGAGATGGCAAACCCATCCCAATGGCTTTGGTTGAACCCCACAGCAGCTGGTGAGGGAATGCACCACCTCACCCCTGTCACACTGGGGCTCTTGGCACTCAGTAATTTTCATCCTGATGTCTGAAACTTCTTCAGTGGCTGAAAGTGCCTGAAGTTTGTTGTGTTGTTTCCTTAGCCAGATGAAAACTCCCTGGATTTCTCCTCGTGCATGCTGCGCCCGGGGATCAAGAACGCCCAGGATCTGGCCTGTGGAGTGTGCCTCCTAAACGTGGATTCCCGAAGTAAAGTGAGTGGAGTGGTTAAACTGCTTTGGAATTTACAGTCTGGGCTTGCATTTATGGAATCCCAGAATGGTTTGGGTTGGGAGGGACCTTAAAGCTCATCCCTCTCTGCCCCCTGCCACGGGCAGGGACACCTCCCACTGTCCAGGGTTGCTCCAAGCCCTGCCCAGCCTGGCCTTGGACACTCCCAGGGATGGGTTTATTGAAAAGATCTTCATGCCTGTAATTTGTAAATGGCAGGGGGGGAAAAAGCAAACTCTGACCTAGAGGTGGGACTCACATAAAATCCTGTGCTCAGTGTCCTGTGTTTCTTGGGCTTTGGTGAGACAGAGCCGTGGAGAAAGGGTTGAGTTAAATTGTTCATGATGGGGAAGAAACGGGGAGACTAATATTTAAAAAGCTGTGGGGTTTTTTTTAACATATAAAAACATTTTTAGTGACTTTTCTTATGAAATGGATCACCAGAGGGGACTGTTGCCATTAGCAGAGCTGGGAGGGGCTCTCAGCACACGTGCAGAGTTGTGCCAACCCGGTAACAATATCGGCGCTTTTCCTGACTTTTTGGTTTCAACATCATTTCAGAATGAAGAGAAACCTGTGGAAGAGCTTCCTAGAAAAGTATGAATCTGTAAAAAAACATTCTTTCTGGACTCATTCTTAGCTGAGTGTGGAAGGCTGAGCTGCTGACTGGCTCTCAGCTGTCATTCTCAATTGTACCAATCATTAATCCTCCTCTTCCAGTCATTTTTTGTGACCGTTAACACTTGATCTGATCAACTAACATGCTCCAGAGCCTCCCCTTTGTCTTGTCTGCATGCCTGTACTTGTGACCAGCTTTCTGGTTTTGTGCTCCTTCTGTTGTGTGGTAGAAAATCCCCTGCAGTGAGTTTCTGAATTTGTGTGTCTGTGGCAGAAGAGGGGGGATTTTAGGGGTTTTGTGCTAGAAATATTGACTTTTGGCTATATGTAGCAGGCAGTGGCATTTTTAGAAATGTCTGCAGGAAATCCAGGGTGTGGGGAGCAGGGCTGGGATATTTTTTTAAACAGGGAGCTGTGAAGCATTGGAAAATATCTCCTAGCAACAAACACTGAGGTGGTTTCAGCTTGTTCATGGCTTCACACGCTCTGCTCAGAGGCTCCTATTGTAAAGCAGCTTCAATTAACAGGAGGAAGTAGATCAAATTCAACCTGAAATAACACTAATGGCAGGAATTGCTCCTGCCTAACTCACAGCAGAACTGGAGGCAGGGAAATAAATGCAGGAGCTGTGTGCTGGCAGGCAGGACAAGCCTCACCTCGTTAGGGATTCGGAGCAGGACCAGGAGATGCATAAAATGAGGTGAGTTGGCTGCCAGGGGTCAGAGCTGGCCCTGTGGGAATCACAGGGCCCCCCCATGCAGGTGTAAGTTGGCTCAGCTGTGATGGCTGGAGGTTTTGCCCCCCTGTCACTAAAATAAAACACAGTTTTTGGGGTGCTGTGCTCGGGGGAGGGTCCTGCCATGCTGTGCCATTCCAGGGTGATGCCCCTGCTGTATCCATTTCCCACTCTGGTTTTAGATCCTGGAGTAGATCAGACTGTCACACTCCTTTCCATTCTTCTTTCAGGCCTTTAATTCCGAGACAGACAACTTTAAGCTGGCCTATGGAGGGCACCAGTACCACGCCAGCTGTGCCAACTTCTGGATCAACTGTGTGGAGCCCAAACCTCCAGGGCTCATCCTGCCAGACCTGCTCTGAAAGCAGCTGCACTGAAGGTGGAGCTTTGGGTTTAACAATGCAGGACTTGGGGTAACTGGTGGGGTGGATTCAGTGGAGAGGCTGGAGCTGGGCTCAGGGTTTGAAATGTTTGGGGTGGAGTTTTGGGCTGTAACAGGTTAAAGCCACTGTCACAGACAGTGAAAGAAGTCATTTGAAATGGCCAAGGGTTCAGAAATAATCAGAAAAAAAATGTAGCATGGCAAAAAAAAAAAAAAAAAGAAGTGGCATTTCAGACTTTCTCAACATGAAAACGTGTTATTTGGTATAAAAGCAGCCTGGTGGCCACGTGCACAAACCTGGGGGGAGCCAGCACTGAGCTTCCCAAAGAACCTGGAATGCTGGGCTGATTTGCATAGAAGTGACCACTTAAGTACTTGGAGCCTGTATTTGTAAGCAGATCTTCTCTTCAAGGTGTTTGGGATATGGACCATGATGTTGTTGTTCAAATATTTGCTGCTGTGATAGCACCTGAGTCACAGCAGCCATGGAGGCAAAAGGAATGATGGACTCGCTGCTGTGGATTTAACACCTCCAGTGCTCTGTGCTGGGAGCTGTTCTGTGTGCACAACTGGTTGGTGCTGGGGGGTGGGGGCTGGAAAACTCTTGAAATTTTCCCTGTAATATCTGGATTCTGCAGTGCAGGCAGCTGGAGCTTAAAACTTGCAGCTTTGTTGTAAATACAGATAAACTTCCCTGGAGTTGTCCTGAACTCCAGGTGTGATTTATGTTTTGTCCTGACCCTTTGGTAGCTGTGTGGCTGCAGCTCTGTTGAAAACTGGACTCTTGCTGATGCAGCACATCTGCTCCTGTGTAGATACTTTCCCTTTTTTGGATGTTGAGATGCTTTTCCTGACGGGAATCCTGTGTGTGGCTCGTGCAGGCTGCTGCTACCTGCAGGAACCTGTTCCTGTGAGTCAGAGCTGGCAGCACCAGGTGGCCCTTGGCTCCTGTGACAGGGAGTGGGATTCCACAGCAAGGGATTTACCACTGGAAGGTGGTGGTTTTAGCAAGCTGGTGTTTGGGGCAGGGCATTGTCTCCCTGCTGGTCTGTGGTTTGTGGCAGGTACACACCCCTCTGGACAGGAGATTTGTATCATTTTGGCACAAAATGTTACCTGTCCATCTAAAGTACCTGATTCTTCCCTCAGATCCAATACCCAGAGGACAGTGCAGTGCTATTACAGGATTTTAAACCAAGTGGGAGCTTCATTGCATTATAAGAGACTTCCCACTGTCCAGTCTGGGTCTGCAGGGAACGAAGTGGGGTGTAAATCCATCGGGGTACAACTTTCTCCTTAATTCTCTGACTTAAATTCCTCAGATCTCTCCCTTCTCCCCAGAGATATCAACAGCTGTTCCAAGTTAATCTTGCCTCCATTTATGAGTACCTGCCATTGACCTGTGGTTATTTGCCAAACTGGAGATTACAGCGAGGAAAACGATGCTTTGTATTTAAAAACAAACAGGCTTAGTTATACCAAACTATTAATTAGCCCAAATGAAAGAATCTTGGCTCAGAGGTGTCTGGCTCCTTATTTACACCAATTACAATAAATCTTGCTGCCTCAAATTAGCTCATTCATAAAATAGAGCAACGTGTGCCTGCAGTCACAAACTCGGGCTAATCCGGCGGCAGATTTTCCATGGTGTGACAGGGACTGCCCACATCCTTTCCCAGCAATTATCCAAAAGCCAGGGAAGCCTCTCACTGCTTCTCTCCCTTCAGGAGGTGTGCAAGAGCTCCAGCAGCACAGCCTGTGCAGTCAGGCCCTGCTGTGCCCTCACCAGGACAGTTCCCAGGGCAGTTTGGGGACAGGAGCCAGTGCTCCCTTTTGCCTCCCGAGTTCCAGGGAGCTCTGTCTGACTTCAGGGGGAGCCTCGTCTGGCTGTGAGCTTCTCCAGTGGTTCTGGGAATGCTGTACTGGGAAAAGGGAGTTCATTGTCAGCCTGGGTTTCCAGCACAGCCCCTCAAGGGCTAGACAGGATTTATTTTTCCTAATTAAAAGAGGAGATCACAAATAAGAGGCCACAGCGTGGAACTTAAAGCACCAGCTGGATTGTCACAGAGGCATTTCGCAGTGGTGGCTTTCCTGTACTTGCTGTCAGGTCAGTGCCCTCTCTGAGCTGGATCCATCGTGTCTTTTGGCCCATAAAAAATGCAGTTCCAGTTGCAGCAGAGCTCACTGCAGGATGGCACTGCTGCTCTCCTGCTCCCACGGAAGGGACAGCACAGGCACCGTCCCTGCCTCTGTGGGAGCAGAGAGTGTTCTGTTCCCAGCACCCTCCTGTCGTGGGAACACATGGAATGTTTCTTGGAGATCCCCCCACAGAGGCCCTGCAGGGGAAGGCTCAGCTCACAGATCCCAGCCATTCCAGTGACTCACTGGAGGCTCAGCATCCTCTCGGATGTCGCTGCCAGCCCAAGCCCAGTGTCCTTCCAAGCTGTATCCAAGGTGACAGGATTGTCACAGCCCACCTTCCCCCACTGCCTCTTGCACAGGCACCTGGACACGCTGCCTTCCCTTTGGCTCTGTGGAATTTCAGACCTGTAACTCCTTCTCCTGCATGGATTCTGTCACTGGAGAAGACAAACGGGATTTTCTTTGGTTTTTTAATGTCCGTGTTTTCTGGAGCTGCCTTGGTATGACCTGTGGAAAGTGGGTTTTCTGTCTCTTTCTGTATATTTGGAGTTCTAAAGGATTATTAGCCTGGTTATTTAATATATTTATGGCTTTTCCCCACTGTATCCCTGGTGCTTCCACGCTGTGACCGTGGTGGCAGCTTCTCCCTGGTGCTGGGAGTGCTGGAGCTGCTCCAGCCCCTTCCCTGCCCCTCCATCTCCGTGTCTGGGTGGGAATTCCTGGGGTCACCTGTGGCCTGGGAATTGTCACCTCATGCACTGACCATTCCAGTGACTTTCCCTCCCTGGCAGCAGCTTTTGTTCCCTGGGTTTGGTCTGAGCAGCTCCTTCCCTGAACTCCGAGCAGGGTTTGTGAGTGTTCAGCCTCAGGTGGAGCTCCTGGAATTCCATGGGATGCTCGGGGTTCCTCAGCTACACTGGGAATTATTTAAACTTGAAGCAAACCCTGCCTTTCCAATAAAAGCTGCTGTTGTACAAACTGCTGCTTCGGGTTTATTTTTAATTTTGGACCTGTATTTAATTCCAGTTCTCAGCGTTAAAATATGAATGTTGTAATTCTATGAAGTGATCAGAAAAATTCTCTTTTTATTGTGATTCCTCTCCTGCCCTCTGGGCAAACGTTATTTCTCTTCCAGAAGTGGTTTTGTGATTATTAGTTGGAGCTGTTTGGGTTTGTTCTACACTGGAGTCAGTGCTGGTATTTTAAATCCCATGAGAATAAGTGTTATTAATTGACTTTATACCTTGTTTACTCCCTTGATTCCTGCAATGATTTATAAATCTTGTGTTGAGATTCAAACCTTGTGTTCAATAAAGAGCTCATTTTGTATCTGACCAGCCTGGGAAGCTGAAATATTTATATCATAATGTAAGAGAAACCTGCTTGGTGGCTGGGATGTGGAAAGTGCCTCACTAAATATTGAAAAATATAAAATATTTTTCAGGCAATTAAGACACCATTTGGAAAAGCCCCTGGGGAGCAGGAAGAGGGATGTTCCCCTCAAATCCAGTGGGTGTGCTCACAGCAATCCAAGCTGAGCTGTGGCTCTCTCTCTTCTTTGGTTTCTATAGATTTAAGGATGGAAAAACTGGATTTTGAGGGGAAAACCACTCACAAAATCTCTTTTGTTGGAGTGAACACAAAAAGAGCTTTTGCAAAGAAATACCCACAAGCATTAACGCTGTAATAGAACCTTGAATGGGGATTTCAGGTGAATTCTTTGTTTCCTGATGTGCTTTATTAGGCAATTTCAATTTTTTATAGGTCTAAGTTTCCCTTGTATTTAAAAATCAGTCTTTGGTGCCTTCTTGGCTGAACATCAGCACCTTCCCTCCCCTCAGTACTCACACAGTGGAATAATTCACAGTGGAGAATTTTTACCTTCAATTTTTACATAAAAAATACTGTTAAATTACAATTTTTGGGTAAAGTTTGGTTCTTCTGAGCAGATTTGAGTTTTTAATTATTTTTTTCCCCCTTAAAATGCCATATATTGGAATGTCTCCAAATTAACAATTAATCTTGATTTTTACTCTCTAGTTCCTTTCTTACCATTTCCCTGGCTGCAGTTTAATCCCTGATAAAAATAGGGAGATGAGTAAAATTCATTTTTTTAAGTGGACATCAGTCTCCTGTGTCTGTCACTGGAGCTGGGACACAGCCATGGAACCTGAGCTGGGAGCAGCTGATGGCAAACCTCACCTTTCTTTCAGTGGGACAGAACTCATCTGGGAAGAGCAGGAGGAAACTTCTCATGTCCCTGTGGTGCTGAAGGACACCAAGATTCCTGTGTGGATACTGCTGGAAAAACAGGTGCTGGGAGTACTGGGGGGTTTTATGGCTGTTTTGAGGCTGTGGATAAAGGATCAAAGGTGGGTTTGCAAGGGAAGGGGGGGAATACATCCCTGCCTTCAGGAAACAGTGGCTTTGGATGCCCTGGGAAGGGTGAGGAACATGCAGGAACTTTTCATAGGGACATCTCGGGTCAGAGACACAGGCCTCTGTGGCAAATTCACTCTGATCTAGACTTTTATTCCAGCCAGCTCTGGTTTTCACTCATGAGCCCAGCGAGGCTGAGGCCATTTAAACGGTTTTGGGCTGGCTTTATCAGGATTTATTTCAGCCCTGATGACTTTTGGTCTGGGGCAGCCAAGGACCACGGCACAGTCAGCTGGGAGAGCCCTTCAGCCACTCCTGCTGCTCCTCAGCTCGCAGGGTTCTGCCCAGGGCTCGGGTCCAGGTTTGCCCAAAGCTCCACGTCACGCCGTGTTCCCGCGGCTCCCGGAGCTCCATCGGCGCCGCTCGGAACAGGAAACCAACGCGTGTTCTGCTCTGATCTTTATTGATTTCTCTTTACAAGTATAGAATCTCATTTAAATCAGCGATCTGCAATCTGCCTGCCCCTCCTCCCGAGGCGCAGGACACCGGTGTCTCCTCGGGAACGGGGCTCTCCTGGGCTCCGGTGACGCTCCAAGGAAACCAGTCCCTTCCCTGGCGGGAGGGGAGCGATGGGCGGGAGCCGCAGGAAGGCTTCTCCCACGGAAAGGCTGGGGTTGGAATCGCTCCCGGCACTCACAGCACAAGGCAGGGCCTGTGCCCCGGCCGGGAGGGTGGACGGATCCGTTGGCGCGGAATAATCCCAGAATGCAGCATAACCTTGAGGACAGAATGGAGTGATTCGGAAATGGACTAAGGCAGATCATGACCGGGCTCGGAGCTGAAGAATCAAGCGGATTTACCAACTTCCAACTGAGTGGTCGCTGGAATGTTCACACACACGGCCCAGCCCCTCGGGCAGGGGGCCGTGCACAGGTTCCTGAACGTCTCTTTGGTTGTCCAGCGGGTTCAGCGCTCTTGCTTCTGCCTTGAGCCACATCTGGACAGGATCTGTCGACTTTCCACCTGCAAAACACACCGGCATTTTCCAGTAGTTGAAGTGTATTCCAGGACTGGCGTGGAATGAGTTAAAAAGGATCTTGCATTTATTTGATTTGAATCGTTCAGATTTTATTTTCCTTGTGGCTGACATGGACTGATCCACTTTTTTTTTTTTTCTTTTTGTTTTCTAGCTTTGAATACGATTAAGAGCTGACTAAAGATCTCAAACACTATATACTGAGAGTCACTATGGATGTTTAACACCAGCACCAGCACCACAGCCCTGTATTCCAGCCTTTCTGGTGCTTGGAAAACCCGCTGCCGTGGAGCAGGGCCTCATTCACTCTGTGCTAGTGCTGCTCCCGAGCCACTACAGGGTTTTGCAGGGAAGCAAACAAGCTATAACGAAATACCCAGGCTACTACCGTGTCACAAAGCGCACTTGGCTCAGCAGCTCTGCCAAATGCCTCTCAGGCCTTTCCTTGGAGGACCCTAACAAACTGACTAAAAAAGGAGGGAGGCTTTATGGAAGGAATAAACTCATAAGGAGACCTGGTTCTGCTAAATGAAAAGAGATGCAGATGGGAAATCCCCATAGAGAGAAATGCTTTGAAAGGAATCGTTGGCCTTGCAGGTTAGTGAGGTGAGAACTGAGGTTCTGCTGTATGGTAAAGAATCAAAGTTGGCTGTAGAAGAAGAAGAAGGGAATGTCTCCAGTCTGGTTGTCTCAGAATAGCACGTCCCTTCCGTTGTGCTTCCTGTCTGCAGTCCCATTAAATTCCCCAGTAAGGCATGAGGGGTCTCCTCTCTCTCTCGTAAACGTCTGGGATGATGCCGTAGGGCGTCTGTACCATTTTAACCGTCGTCTTCCCGAAGAGCTTCCTCTCGTAGTCAATCAGCTGCCTCCAGAAGCCCACGTTGGGCCGGATGACGGGGCGCCGGGACTTGACCCAGTTGTAGGCCTCGAAGAGGGAGACCTTGTGGTACTTCATGAGGAAGGCGATGCAGAGCGTGGCCGACCTGCTGACGCCGGCGGCGCAGTGCACCAGCGCGGCCCCGTGCTTCCGCGCCACGCTGTGGATCTTGTCGGCCACGCTGTCGAAGTACAGGGAGATGGGGGCGTTGGGCATGTCAGCCAAAGGCACTTTGACGTACTCAAACTGGGGCCAGTTGAAGTTGGGGATCTCGATGGTGGCGTTGATGATGCAGGTGATGCCCCGGGAGAGCAGCAGGTGCCGGTTGGAGGCGACGCTGCCCCGGCTCAGGTACAGCGAGGGGGTGATCTGGGCGATGCCCCCCAGGGCACCTTCGGAAAGCATTCGCGGAGCCATCAGAGTTCTCGGCAAGGAGTTGTGGCTTCTGGAGGTCATGGAGGATCTTGGCGCTCACACTTCCATTATGGGAAGAGGTCCAACGGGATCTTCGGCCGAGGGAAGGATTGTCTGGCCTGGTGGTGGTGGTGGTGGGGCGGCGAGAGCTTCCTCTGCTTAGTCACTGCAAAACACAAGTGAGGCCACATGAGAGGGGCAGCTGTCCCTGAGCCGTGTCTGGGCAAGGGAGCAGGAAACCCCCGCTCGCCCTGCCGTGGCCTGGCAAAGCTCCGTGGGGAACACGGGTCTGGTTTCACAGCGCCTGTCACACCACAGGGCCCCCAGGCATCGCCTGGACAGAACAGTAACGAAAAATCTCTCAGCCTAATTAACCCCAATTACTCATTGAGGGTTTACCTGTGGGCCCGGATGGCACCTCACCCGGATCAGCACGTGGAAGACGAGCTACGCCTTTTCCATGCTCAAACCCAGCAGCCTCACAGCTGGCCAGAGTCCAGAGGGATGGTGAGGAACAGCAGATGCCAGCAACTTGCAGCACCCTGCCCTCTCCCCAGTGCCACCCTTCTCCTTTTTTAGGTGCACGAAGGGCCCCGCCAAAGCACATAAAGAGAGGAGAGTTGCTTGTTGGGAAAGGCGGTGAGTCACGTCCATCCCCATCACTCATCGGCTCTCGTCGAAGCAGGGCAAGTGTGGAAAGAGTGACCTGGTTATGTCAGAAGCTGAGAGTAAAACCCAAGCAGAGGCTGGGACAGGGCAGGCTCTGCTGCTGCTTTAACGCCTCACTAAGGCTTAGGAGAGAGACACACGCGCTGCCAAGGCTCGGGATCGCCCGCGGGGGCCACGGGAGAGCCCCTGCTCTGATCCCCCTGCTCCTTTAGGGCTTCTCCAAAGCCAGTGGGGAAAGCACAACCAAGGGGACGAGCCCTGGAGCATTAACAATTTGCCAGTCTGGGTGTTCTCCAGCTGCAGATGGGCCATGGGGGAGCTCCGGTCTGTGCAGGCTGGAGAGGCCCTGCCCTGCCCAGGTACCTCAGCCCACCCGTGTCACTGGCACTGCTGGAGGGGATCTGGGGGCTGCTCAGCACCTTGGGGGAGCAGGATTTGTTAGAGGGTCCTCAAAGGGCTGGGAGACCCCAGCTGTGGCTTCCCCAGCCCTCAGTGCAGTGTCTGCCCACATCCCATGCTGTGGGAGGCACCAGCAGGTCCCAGCTGTGTCTGGTGGTGCTGCCAGCGGAGTTTTGGCTCTGTGGCACAGGAACTTAACGAGCATAATGCAGCCTCTGCCGTGGCTCTTCCCTGCTGGCACCGACTCGAGCAGTTCTGGAAGCCGTGGGCCCAAAGAGCTGCAAGAGCTCCTGCCCCAACGAGGCTTTTGCTTCCCCCACTGACACCCCAACACAGTCCCCCAGCAGGAGCAGCAAGGAAAGGGGTGTTTGTTCAAAGGAATAAAGTCCTCTGAGCAGGGGAGGTCTGTGCTTTCAAACAGCTCTTACTGACAACACAAAGGATGGGGGCACTTACGCTTGGTCACAACCGGTACGGGTCAGGGCCGGGATGTCACGGGTGATGATGGGACGGCTCACAGAGTGTGTCCAGTGCTGACCTGGGGAGAGAAGAGAGCATGGATTTTACTGGGACGTGCACTGGACCTGATCCTGTCCAAGAACTGGGAGTGAGGATCACTGGGCAGACAGAGGCCTCGGGAAGGCACCTGCTGCCGACACTGTAATGTCACCAATTCCTGCCAGCACAGCACTCCAAGCCACGGTAGGCCCAGAGGAATCTGAGCCTGGCACAGAAATCACGGCTCAGAAAAATATTAAATAGTTTAAGTAATTAATTTGCTCTAATGTCTCCTTTAGCATCTGGCCAGGCCCAGACACACCTCTGCATCCTTCTGATGGTGCCCAAAGCCACCTGGTTGGGGAGCCCCTGCTCCTGTTCCCTGAGGCACTGCTGGAAGTACAGGGAGAACAGGAAGGGGCAGAGCTGGTGCCAGAGCCACAGCATTCCACTCCTGGAAAGTGGAGGATGGGGCAACATCCCCTTTTCATTCTGCCAGACCAGAAGCACCACAAGCCCCCAGAGTGGAGGTGAAGCAGCCAGGAAGTGCTGCTGGACCCCAGCAGAGTGAGAGCAGCGCCTGCCCCAAACCAGCTCTGTGCAAGGCAGACCCTCCATCTGCTCCCAGGGGCACCCGGAGCACTCCCAGGGCGGTTTGGGAAGGGCTTTGCTGCTTTCCATACATACAGTGCTTCCTGTTTGCAGGCAGCAACTTATCCAGATATTTGCATGTGACAGGCTGGGCTTGCTCTGCAAACTCTGGGGCCACCGGGCTGGCAGTGAACGCCCCACGTGCCACCCGCTCCCGGCACCGCCGGCACGGCCCCGGGAAGCTCATCCAGTTCCACCCCCTTCCACACCTTCCATAGCCCAGGTTGCTCCAAGCCCTGCCCAACCTGGCCTGGGACACTTGCAGGGATGGGGCAGCCACAGCTTCCCTGGGCAATCTGTTACATCCCGGTTACATCCCCGAATGGCCGGCACAGGCAGCGCGGCCTCCGCTCAACGCTGAGCAGCTCTCGGCCAGAGCGAGTGAATGCTTTGGAGAGGAGCTCATTATTTAGGTGAGATAAGGCTGCTGTGCTCCCAGCCCACGTGTCTGGTGGCTCAGGATGCTGCCCAGACAGGGGGAAAGCCACCAAGGGAGAGGGGCAGGTGCCAGCGTCCCTTCCCGCGCTCCGCGACGCTCACAGCGGGAGCCGCCCGGGATGCCACTGACTGTGATGTGCTGTCTCAGGCATGTGACAGAGCCACGCTGCTGCCCACACACACCAGGCTGAGCAGCTGCTGGCGTGCAGGGAGCTGGGAATGAAAAGGGGCCTCGTCTCCCTGGGCTGGCAGCGGCTCCTGCTGGGTGCGGCGCCTTCGGCTGAGAGCGGGAGCTCCCACCAGGCTGCGTGAGGCTTCATCTGGCCCCAGAGCTGCACCCCCTGCCTGGCCCCAGCTCAGACAAAGCCTTGCCCAAAGTCTGCTGTTTTGCTCCCACAAAACTCCATTTGCCTTTCTCAGCACACCCGTGTCATCCCGCTGCAATCCAGCACTGTTGCTCTTCACGCAGCCGCTCCCGTCATTGTGCCAGAGCAGAGGGAGAGAGGAGTGAAAAGCCTCTTCCCAGCTGTTGCTGAGTGCAAAGAAAAAAAAAAAGAAAAGGAGGAAAATAGCTGAAGATCAAAGAAGGGACACACACAGCCCAGCCCTGGCTGTGCCACCTGCAGTACCTGGCAAGGCTGGTGGCACAACAGGCTCCTGGCACGGGAGGAGGCACCCGCTGCCTCCTTCAGCGCAGCACAGACCCCACATCGTCTCCCATCTTCCCTGGTTGGAGTGTCTGAGTGGTGGCACAGTCTGGGGGTCACACCAGCCCTGAGTGTGTCCTCGGGGTGCTGGGGCCTGTCCTGGCTGCCTTGTCCCCACAGGTGCTCCCCAGCACCAGGCAGGGCATCCGAGGGTTCGGATCCAGAACTGTCCCTAAAGCAGCACTGGAAGTACCTCCCAAAGGAGCTGGAATGTGATTGTGGTTCCCTGCAAAGGGCTGAAATTCCCAGATGGTGCAGTGTGGTCCTTTGGGAAAAGACTGGCTGGTGATGGGCTGGTAGCAACCAGGTGTTCCCACCATCATATCCTTGTTTGCTGAGCTGGATCTCCAATTAATGAATGAATTAATCTTGTAACAGCCCTGACCCACAGCAAATCCCTCTCCAGACTCTGCCTTGGTCTTGCCTGTGCAGAGAGAACAGCCTGGTGGGTTCTGCCATTGCCCTCATCTGCATAATCAGGGGTGAGGGAAGCGAGTGGGTAATTACAGCCTGGAGAACGCTCTGCTCTTCAAAGCCTGCAGGTCCTTTCCCAGAGCTCCCGGCCCGCACCGTCCTCGGGTGCAGGATTGCAGAGAGGGGACACTTCTCCAGCACCCACCATGTCCGGGATCCCATCCTGCATCCCCTGGCTCTGCTCAGCTCCACAGCTCAGGTGGGTCTGGCTGCTCCTGTCGGGCTCTGTGTGTTCTGCTGTACCTGGAGGCTGAGCTTTGAGGTTCACCTGTCCCAGGAGAAGGGGCAGGTGCTTTGTCCGTGGTAGCTGCTCCCATGGAGGGCAGGTTGTGTCCCACCCGGGCTGGATTTCCCGCTCCTCTCCATCCAGGGGGTTCCCAAAGCCAGACAGCGATGCCTTGGTTTGTGCTCTGGTGGTGCAGCCCCTCGGAAAGGTTGCTGCTGGCAATGCTCGTGGCTCTGCTCTTCCAAATCTTGCAACAGCTGGAGTTTGTTTCTCTTTGCTTTCATTCTTGAGAATGCAGTTCTGCTAACAAAGGCTGAAATTCCCATGGGAAAGCGTTGCTGGTTCCTGAACCTCCTGAGAAAGGCTTGAAAACACCTCTGGAAGCTTAAAAGACAGAGGCACACAGGGTGATGTGAGTTAAATACTGTGATCTCCAGGGTAGGAGGGAGAGCTGGTCGCGCTCTAGACAATGAGTTGGCAAGTCTGAGCTTCTGCCTTCTTATTCTGGTGCTGCTGGATGGTTTGCTCTGATTTGGGGGATTTTTTTTTTTAGTTTTCTTTTCTTTTTAAAAGTGCCTCTGTGGTTTGTCTCTGAGGGACTCAGCTAAGCCTTGCAGTTCGTGTCGGGTTCTGTGTCAGTAACACAACCATGGAGCCGGTACCTGGCACAGGTGGAAGCTTCCCCAGCCTCCTGTCCCCCTTGGCCTGTAGGTTTAGGGCGGGGGGAGGCTCAAGGGGGTGGTGGGCCCTGCTCTGCTGGTGGAGCAGAGACACTGAAGCCCCTGGTTTTTATTCCCAGAACATCATCAGGGATTCGAAGCAGGTTTGTGGGCTGGGTGTGTGAAATGTCAGTACTGAGGCAAACCTTCTCCCCCCTCCCAGGAGAGGAAAAGTTATTCATTTTGGAGATGACAAATGCTCTCTAATCCTGCAGTAAAGAGAAGAGTCAATATCGCAGGCGCTGAACGAACGAGCCTGCTCAGGGCTCTCCCCGGCCAGGCTGAGCAGCAAAATGCTTCGGATATGGTCCTGGAGAGTGGCATTTCAAATACATTTCAGCAGAGAGCACAAACTGCAGCCATTCTCGGGTCAGGGCTTGCTTGTGCCGAGTCCAAGGGAGGCCGGAGCAGAGCCAGGAGAGGAGAGGACGTGTGGGAGCCGCCGGCTCCTCGCTCCTCTTCCCACCCCTCCTGCAGCCCTTTGCTCTGCCGGGTCCTTGCTCTCCTTCCTGGGGCTGTGGTGGATGTGCTCCCAGAGCCATGACAGGCTCCTCTCGGAGTGTGGGTCAGAGCCACCGGCACAGCCTCGCCGTGAAGGGACGAGTGGATTGGGATGCAGAAGGAGGAAGGGGAGTGGGTGGGATGGTCTGGGCTGCCACAGCGGATGCCGCGACCGACCCCTGATCGATTCTGCTCGCAGCCCGCCGGCCTCTCCCAGCGCAGGATGGGAGCTGTCAGATGTTAAATCAAGATAATAATCTGTCTGCCCGGAGCTCTGAGCAGGCCTGGCTGCTCGGGCAGCTCCCAGCACAGCCGGGTCCCCACGCTTGCCAGAACACACCAGTGACTTCCCAGAGGATTCACGGAAAAAGGGGAATCATGCCCAAAACGCACCACAAGACACTCCACATGCAGCCCCCAACTCTCCCGGGGACCTCGAGGACCCCGGCTCAAGCACATTTAGTCTGTAAGCACAGTCCTGCCTCCCGCACAGGCCTGGAATCTGGGCTGCTCCCCTGGGCCGAGCCAGCTCCCCGGGCTGGTGATCCCTGAGGAGCCTGTCCCAGCCTGCTGCCTTCCGAGGGGTGACAGCCGCCACGGGAGCGTCATGGCTCATCTCCCTCCCACTGGCACCACTGGGGTGCCCTGGGTGAGGCCAGGCCCTGGCAACCTCACCCGCTGCCTCCTGCATCTGGTCACCAGCCGTGCTCTGCCCTCCCCTCAGCCCCTCCTCGCGCCGCCAGCCAAAGCCTCGCTCCCTGACAACCCCAGCACCGACAGAGCAGGAAAAATGGGCGGTGAGGTTTTTGGAAGGTTCCATCCAAGGATGATGCCACTGGGCCCGCTGGGCAGGGCCCGTGGCTGCCAGGCAGGGCGGCAGCTCCACTGACTCCGGATTCCTGCTGTCACCGTCTCCTCGGCGAGGCGGCGGAGCTGCCCACGGGCACGCTGTGATCCTGCCACACAGCCACCCCCTCCGTGCCGCTCTGGAGTGGGAACGGGCAGAGCTGCTTCCTCTCCACTCGGCAGCTGGATCCTGCCAGCTGCCAGCCAAACCTCTGGCCACAGGGAGAGCTCCCGGCCGCAGGGACGGAGCAAGACGGGGAGCGGGCGCAACCTGGAGCGAGCTGGTATTTATAAAACCCTCGCTCTGCTCTGAGGACAAGCCTCCCTCGGCAAGCAGCGAGAGGATCTGATGCAAGAAAAACAAACCATCTTCCTTTCTAAAGCCACGTCTGTTCTTTCAGAGCCATGGGCTCCCACACTCGCTGCTCTGTGTGCCAGTCCCTGGGAGAGCACAGCGGGGGCATGGGGTTCACCTGGAGTGTGGCCACCTGCATGTTGCTTAAAAATTCTGGGTGGGTGCATGAAACACTTTAAAAACCAGAATTAAGCCTTGAGGAGGCACAAACGGGACCCAACAGTTGTGGGCAGCATCAGTTCCATACTCGGCTGAACACCCAGGGCTGTTTTCCAGCCCCAGGTGGAGAGATCGTCTGCTCTGAAGCACCACAGATCATTTCAGCGCCAGCTGATGGCAGCTGGATTGCATGTGGAGTTTGGGAAAGCTCCCCTGCTCCATCCCTGTGCTCCCTGTGTCCAAGTGTGACCCGGGGGGGATGTGGATGGGGAGGAGAGGGGCACACTCAGGGAGCAGACTCATGCCTGGCTCCAGCTCCCAGGGTGCTGCAAGATGGAGCCTTGTTTTTTCCGGAGCCGTGCCCTGCGCAGTCACAGCTGACAGGAGGGACACAATCTCTTCCCTGTTAGCTGAACAAAACACAGGGACCTGGTGTGTTTGCTCGTGTGTGACCCTGCTGGGCTCAGGGCTGTGCCTGCTGCTGCTGGGGCCGGGCTCTGCCCCAGCTCACCCCAAACCCCATCAAAGTGAAGGCAGCTGCAAATTCACTGCAACGTGTCCTGGAAACAGTCTGGTGCTTCCATCCTGGTGCTCACCCGGGCCTTTTCCAGGGGCAGAGCCAACTGGTGCACACTCTGAACAGCCCAACTTCTCATGGGGGTCCCAAAGCCTGGCACTCTGATAAACCCGATGGTGACACAACCCTCGCTGGAGGAATTCCCGGTGGGCAGGGGCTGCCCACGCTCTCCCCACGCTCCCCAAGGCCAGGCAGGAGCTGGGCACAGGGCAGTGCAGCTGAAGGGAGAACAGCAGGATGTGCCCACAGCAGCTGTAAGGAATGAGGTCACCCCTGAACACACCGATGGGGTTGTGCAGGGTGACAGGAGGAGAGGCTGATTTTAATCAACTGGGGGAAGTCAAGTTTACACCAGGCAGCGATTGCTTCCCATGCAAGCAGCACGAGGCCAGCACCCCTTGTCTCCCAGGAGGTCATTCCAGCTGATCCAAGCTTGGGGGAATGGCATTTTTTAGGGACACTGTGCAAATCCACATTTCCTCCATGAAGGACTCCTGCCTCTCTGAGCTGCTGCTCGGCCTCCCCCAAAGGGAAGGACCCACAGCCACTCCCCACTGTGGGGTGGGATGGTGGAAACAGGGACAATTAAAGTCCCATCAGTCCAGAAACCCCAACCCACCCTGCTGAGGTGAGCATGGCAGCACCTGTTGCTCCTTTCTGCTGGGAAACTCAAACTTGCTTATTACTATTTCATATTATTTTTAAAGCAGGGAGTACCCAAAGAGCTGAGCCCACAAGCTGCCTGCACTACAGGTGCCCCAGGAAGTGTGGGCAATGTATTTGCCTCCCATTCTCAGGCTTTATTCCCAAGCATTCAGGGAGCTGGGGCTGCTGTTCAGAGATTCCTCAGCTGCTTTCAAATGCCAGAACCCTCTCTGCTACATGCTCACACTTCCCTGGTTTGAGGCATTACCCCATTCTAGGGAAAGCCACCCTGGAAGGAAGGTGGTAGCAGGAAGCCTGGAAGGTTTCTCTGGTGCACAGCCTTGTGTAAACAGCTCTGGTGGGGCCAGCGTGTGGTGAGTGGGAGAGAAGCTGCTCCTGGTACCCACTGCCATGCCCAGGTGCCTTTTCCCTTCTCCTCATTCCCAATCTGTTTTTGCATGCCCAGATGTGCAGGTGGTTGGTTCCCTGGGACAAAGCTGGTACCCACTCTCAGAGTAGAGGGCTGAGACTTTCTTGTGCAAGCTCTGCATCCCTTTCCTGCCTTCCATGACGTCTGGCTCAGACAGGTTTCCCCCCACACCCTGTGCGTTTCTAGCACTGGAGCAGCATGAGCTCTCTGCCCTTCCAGCTCCGAGATTCCAGCTGGGATCAGGTATTGAATTAAGCCATGCAAATTTCCATCTTGCCCTGACCAACACGAAAGCAGTGCCAGAGCCCAGAACAGACCCTGCAGCACAGCAAGGGCTCAGATCAAATCCCTGCGAGTTCACCCTTTGTTCCTGGGAGAAACTGGAATGTCGGTGCCCGTGCCCAGGACCCAGGCGAGCCCTCGGGGGCAGGAAGGACAGGCAGAGCTGCACGTTCACACCTTGCGGGCATAAATCGATTAGAACCTGCTGCATTACTGCTCCCCTGACGTTCACAAGGGTCACGCCAGCCAAGCCGTGGCGGCAGATCTCTGCCAGTGAGGAGCAGCACGTGCCCCCAGAATTAGGGACCATTCTTTCTCGTTCCCTGGGAACCAGAGTGCCACAGAGCTCATCCCAACCACGAGAACGCAGCACACATCAAGGTTTACGGCGAGGCCTGGGGGAGGAATCCACTCCCTACCAGAGCAGGGACAGCTGATCTGGTGTATCATAAGGGAAAACAGTGTTTTGTCAGTGCTAATCCTCCACCATTCCTGTGGCAGGGGCATTAGGGATAAACTGAACTTGCAACATGATATTAGGGCATCTGCCAACACTCAAACCTCCAGAATAAAAGGCTCATTTGCTGCCCAGTCGAACAGGTTATAATCCTGCCCCATCTCCCTACAGCCAAATGCCACTCATTGATTACTGGTGTTGCTCAAAGCAGCTGCTCCGGAGCTGAGTCAAGGGCCACGCACACAACCCGTCTGGATGAGAGGCCGGGCAGCCGCAGGCACACGCCGGGGTTTGGTGGCACCACGGTGCCCTGAGAGCAGGGGTGCCAGGGCAGGAGCCAGGGAGAGGTGTTGAGAGAAGGGTGCCAGGGGCAGGAACGAGGGAGGGGTCCTAAGAGGGGAGTGCCAAGAGCAGGAACCAGGGATGGATGCTGAGCTGGGGGTGCCCAGGGCAGGATCTAGGGATGGATGCTGAGTTGGGGTTGCCCAGGGCAGGAGCTAAGGATAGGTGCTGAGAAGGAAGAGCCCAGGGCAGGATCCAGGGATGGGTGCCAAGCTGGGGGTGCCCAGGGCAGGATCCAGGGATGGGTGCCGAGCTGGGGGTGCCCAGGGGCAGGATCCAGGGATGGGTGCCGAGCTGGGGTGCCCAGGGCAGGATCCAGGGATGGGTGCCGAGCTGGGGTGCCCAGGGCAGGATCCAGGGATGGGTGCCGAGCTGGGGGTGCCCAGGGCAGGATCCAGGGATGGGTGCCGAGCTGGGGGTGCCCAGGGCAGGATCCAGGGATGGGTGCCGAGCTGGGGGTGCCCAGGGCAGGATCCAGGGATGGGTGCCGAGCTGGGGGTGCCCAGGGCAGGATCCAGGGATGGGTGCCGAGCTGGGAGTGCCCAGGGCAGGATCCAGGGATGGGTGCCGAGCTGGGGGTGCCCAGGGCAGGATCCAGGGATGGGTGCCGAGCTGGGGGTGCCCAGGGCAGGATCCAGGGATGGGTGCTGAGAAGGAAGAGCCCAGGGCAGGATCCAGGGATGGGTGCCCGCGGTGGGGCTGGGGTTGGTTCCACGTCGAGCTCTGCCCGTGGCTGCTCTGGTACAGCTCCGAGGTGACACCCCGCTCCCTCGCCGGGCTTACCCGCGGTTGGAGCACCGGCCACCGCGTTCTTGCCGCGCGTCCCGCTCCTTCGGGCCCCGCCGGCAGAGCCGCCGCTGTCCCCCGTCCCAGGGCAGCCCCCGGGCTGCTGAGCCCTGTCCGGGCACAGCCGCACCCCCGTCCCGGCGGGGATGGAGGGGTGGGATTCCCCCCGCGCCCCCGTCCCGCCCGTGCGGGCAGAGCCAGGAGGGCTCCGGGGGGCTCCGGGGGTCCCCGCGAAGGAGCGGGGCGGGCAGGGGACAGCGCGGGGCGGTGCGAACACGGCGGGGCCCCGCAGCCCGGCCACGCGGGGCCAGCTCGAGCCCCCTCCCCGCGCCCCGGCTCCCCCCTCCCGCCCCTGCCCGTCCCTACCATGGCTCCGGGCGGCGGCTCCGCGCTCCCTCGCGGCCGTGGCGGCGGCGGCGGGCCGGGACTTTTATCGTGCTCGGCCGGCTCCGTCTCGGCGGTGCCACCTGACCGCGGAGCCGGGGCCGCCCCCGCCCGCCGAGCCGCCGTTACCAGGCTACGGGGGGCGGCCCGGCCCGGCCCCCGGGCGGGGGCTCCGGGAGACCGGCCCCGCTTAAAGGCGCCGCCGCCCCGGCCCTGTGGGGAGGGACCGTGTGTGGGGAGGGGGGCCCTGTGGGGATGGGGACGAGGGGTGTCCCGATGGGGACGTGGCGGGGATACGACTGTGTGTGGGCACAAGTTGGGGATCCCTGTGGGGACGTGGCAGGGTCCCTGTAGGGATGGGACCGCGTGCGGGGACAAGTGGGGGGCCCTGCTGGGGTGGAGACAAGTAAGGGTTCTGGGTGGGGACAAGTGTGGATTCCAGTGGGGATGTGGTGGGGTCCCTGTGGG